TGCACATTGACAAACAATCAGACGAAAATTGAAACGAGCGTAAATTCAATGAATAATTTGAATACTTGCTAAAAGATTGGAACTACAAATTTTCACAAATCCACCCTTGAATATTTTCGACGCTTTAATGTCTTAAAATTATTGATTAGCTGTATTGAAAGTTTTCAAGCTAAAAAAAAAGCAGAGAAAAAAAGAATCAAGTATATATTTTGCACAATACAGATAGTCTGCATGCATAAAGCATTGATATCTTAAAATTGAACAATCCAATATTAACTGGAAAAAGAATACTGGACTAACGGAAATGAACTCCGAGAGGCTGCGGACAGACCTACAGAAATGTCCAGAAAAACATCATACCATCATGATAGGAAACCTAAATGTCAAAGTTGGGTTGAACGACATTGGGTATGAATGTATTACAAAGACTGAGAGGGAGAAACGAGGATCGTGCTAAACTAGATTATAGCCAAAGGAGGCAGTAGTTCAACCCACAAACGCATACACAAAACCCTATAGCTTTCACCAAAATACAATACGGGAAAGCAAAATGATCAAACGTGGAACAAAAAATATTTTGAGGGTCCATGAAAGATGTAAAAACAAACAGAGGAGCTGATATAAATTCCGATTATCGCCTGGTGATGATCAAGTTAGAACTGAAGTGAAGAAGCATTGGACAAGCAACACTACAGGAGGTAAATATAGACTTCTTTGAAGATGTAAGTTTATGATAGCTTCTAGAAATAATTTCCAAGTCTTATAAAAACTACAAGAAGAAGAGGAAACCACTATGGAGAACAATCAGTAACTGATTGGAAGAACAATAACTTCAACATGCCAGGGTAGAATACTTTGAAGAACTCTTCAATACATTAGCGCTACCGAATATGGAAGTAGAACACACACATCTTCCTATAAATTATACCCCACTAACAATAGTAGTCAGCAATGCGATCAAACAAATCAAAAGTAGCAAGAGAGCACTAACGGATTGATGTCAGAATTTTCAACAACGCTAAACCAGTATTATTGTACGATGCTTAAACCTAAAGAACCATTACGAAAATAATTTATAAACCAGCTGTCCTTACGAGATACTCCAGATTTACCGGCCATAGATTGTCAGCAGAGAGAAAACCAGTTGTCAGTTGATGAAGGAATTAGCAAAAGACGCTGCAGGTCGATAGGACTTATTTTGCGGAAATCATTAAATTGCATTACAAGGTAATTCCTAAATTTCAATCGTCAAGGCAAAAGAGGGAGGCTAATGAACACATTGAGCCTGGAATTGGAGATAGATATGTGATTACATGTTCCAGCAGTAGTTACAGACTTAGGTACTTAGATTAACAGAAATCGCACGTGTTTCGAACAACAATATGACATCAAAGATAGTTTATAACAGTAAGTAGCATATTAAAACAATTAAGTGTAGTAGTAGTAGTAGTGTGAAGTAAAAGTAAGTCACTGTATTAGGATTCAGAATAATGCAACTATATATATGTAGACGAATTTAGAATTCACTATGACCTAAAAATTGCTTCTCGATGAGTATCGTATATCAGTTCTTATTATAGAAAGATCTTCTGTGCGTCTTCATGCTTCTAACAATAATTCTTCTCAATAAATATTATCAAGTGAATGAACAGATAGATTTCGCTTGTTTTTACTTTCCAAGCAGAACAATAAAAGCCCCGATAATAAATTGCGTATTAAAAAAATTCAAACTCAACTTATTAAAAGTAAAAACTTACATCCCTAAAAGATTAATTCTGCTTTGTTAAAACAACAGCATTTATCGTTTATGGATAAACTAACACTGGAAACAGATAAATTGAGCTTAGGAACGAAGAAATAACGAGTGAAAATTGAAACGATGTGTGCTGTTTATGAAGACAGAAAAACCCGTATTTAGAAAACTATAAACCAGTTTAGCCAAACATAATACATAATTATAAATCTACTCGGATAGATCGCTTTCACTTCATTGAAATATACATTAGAAATTTCATACCTTCCCATTATTATATATAAAAATTGCATAAAATTGAAAAAGGAAAAAATAGCCCCATTTTGTTTTACGTGTCAAACAGATTCGGGGAAGCGGAAACACAAATTCATCCATACACCAATTACTACACACAACTACAAAGAATTGGTTACTTACTCCAAAAGTATGTTCAGTACAAGAACCTGTACAAATGAGTACAGATCATTTTCGTTAGGGATGAAATTGAGATATTTCATGCGGTTCCTAGATTGATAGTTAGTGTGCTTTATTGAACAATTTCAAAATCACCTCCAAACTTAGATTGTATCACTGATATCAATAGCATGATATTAGTTCCATGTTTATGACTATTGATTATTTATTCAGACTGAATCCGTCCAAACTATTTGTCGTGTAATATTCCACCGTTACAACAATTAGATTATTTGTTATAGACGATTGATAGACACATAGATTTTTATACCTTATTTATTTGAACACATAAATGCTGATACAAAGTGACACTGAATACATATGAGCCACACAAGTCACTTGATTTGTGTGTGAGCTGTGATACTAAGCGGATGCAATCGCCCAGATAGTCTCGAACCTTATTCATTATCACTGGTGTAAAAAAGATTCTATACTGATGTATAATGAAATTAAGCGAACAAGACTATTATTATTAATTTGTACCAACTAGTAGCCCGACTAAATCTCTAAATAATGCTCAAAAATAAGGTTATTCGAAACGATGTATCATAGTGTTTGCCTATATTAAACAGTACGAAAAATAGTTATCAATACTATACTACCAAGAAAGACTAAAGAAACACACACAAAGACGGAACAAATAATAAACTTCGAGTTATGGATAGAATAATAGTGAATAAATAAACTAGGCACCGAAATTCTGACAGCAAACAAACAATTATTTAAGACGATATAACAATGAACAGAAGACAGGTCAATATCACTAAATAACGATCCTTCCTTCACAAAGAATGAATCCACAAGACTGGAAGAAGCCATTCATAAGTAAAGTTAATTATAGGCAGTGGAAATTTTCAATTTAAGTTATCCTGTAAATCAATAAACCCTTAGAAACTGACACAAATTTAAAAATTTCTCGAATGGATATTCATTAATGAAACGAATAGATAAGATTTTAAATTCATAATTATATATATGTGTACCAAGAGAAAGCAATATTTCATCCAGAAATAACCATCATTCTTTTCTATCCACAATTGATTAGAAACAGAAGATAAACATTAATAAAAATAACAACAAATAGACAACAAGATATCGGTGAAGAGAACAAACAAACAAAAGAGAAAAGAACAAACTCATTCTTAGTTAGTAAATATGTTAAACAGAGGATTCAATAGTTAGTCAGTTAATTAGCCAGTTTCGTTAAAGCACATTATATTTGAAAATGGATATGACACAGACTAATTACTTTTTCTTTTACTTTAATAAAGAACTGAGAGAAGAAAAGATAAAACTCACCAATGAGAGAGAAGAAAAGGAAATTACTAAGTTAATTGCTTCTGGTACTGTTAAGAGTATATATATATATATATATATATATATATATGAGCGCAAGTCAATAGAACTAGAGGGAAAGAGAGGATAACAAATTTTGAAAAAAAAGAATGTGATTGAAGAAAATGAAATCAGAATTTAAAATGCCACCGTAGCAGCGAAATAATACTAGTGGGTAAAACAGGATCAACACTTTAACTACAGTAAAAGGTAATGAGAAATGGACTGCCTCAGTCTGTTGGTAAATAACCCAAACCGATAGTGTATAAACAATTTTGAATGCAAACGCTAGTACACGTACTGATTTCGATGAGACCATTATCAATTTATCTTTAAACTATTCAGCAGTTTCATAACTAAATTTAAGTACTAATATTGATATTTATTCAGTAAACAGTATTAATTCCATCATGAAATATGTGATTCAAATGAAAATTGGTGAGATTAAATTTCCTTTCGGTTAGAACATCTCAATTGTAAATTAGAAAAGAATACAAGAAACAAAATTTAATGAATGAAATGAACTTATAGGGTCAAACTTTGTTCTGAACTTACTACACTCACTTTTAATGTCATGAATAAGTTTACCTCTTGATATTTATATAAAGATATGAACCGCAACTTCCCTAAGCCAAACATAAAAACAAACTAGATTGCAACATATCTCTAAGAATTATGTTTTAATTCATTTTCTATAAAACCATAAATCTTTGTTTTCAATATATATGCCAGGTACACTACATCAATTACTTTGATTTAAACAGACAAGTTATTAACGGACAAAATAACTGCTTAAAGCATAAAACAAAATACTTTATACATGGTTAGTCATCAAGTTGTGAATTGAATCATTTCGTATAGCTAAAACACAAATATTATGCTTCCTACACTAAGATTGAAAAAACAATTTCGATATACCAATGTTATGAGAAATATAGAAATGATCTCGTGTTTCATATATATATTCACGCAGTTTCACTATACAGGGTGAAGTGATTCAAAGAGTACACTAAAAATAAATAACGATCATTTGGACTAACTATTAGGTAAAACATCACTATATGTGCCTCTACATTATTGATATATTCAGACACCCTAAAATACACTTGATGTCGTTCCACTCTTGACAAGAAGTTGATCCAACTGCACCACCTTATGTTGACGAAATCATCTCGCTTATACCAAGCGAAGAAAGTTATATAGTGAGAAAATATCATGTTAAATTGTAAAACTATAATGTTTTCATAGTCTTAAACACCATATCTTATAAGTGTAATTTACAATAGTTCACATATTAAAACAGAGATATATACCATAATATTGATTATGACAAAATGACATTTAAACTTGATTGAAGCAATCCGTGTACATACATGCGAACATGGAAACTAAATTACAAATATATACACACATAAAATAGTGTAATGTAAGCAAACAGAAAAATGGCCAAATCAACAATATATAAATACAAACAAAGTGAAAAAATAGAAAACGATTTTTTTACTACAGTCAATTTATTGACAAACAAATGTATATATGTACATGTATATTATGACAACAATAATATCCACTGGTGTTTTTTGTACAGATATGTCTAAACAAGGAAATAAAAAATAGGATTGTAATTAACACACATGTTGAAAATATAAATAAATAACTGATTTTATCCATTTTGATGATAATTCGATATGGACTGCAGAACCTTCCAGAGATAGAGAGATGAATGACGTGAGATAGAGTAATTGTAAATCCATTTGACTTTATATAATTGAAAAATTCTTTGATTCATCATATAATAATAATTGATTATTTGATAAATTCATAATCCCTCTTTACATAAAAATAAAAACAATGAAACAAACAAATTATAAATGAATAATTATTATATTGCAAACATACATTTAACTAAACAGTAAATTAAGTAGTTGACCATAGACGACAAATGAGCAAAGTATGAATAAAAATTAACCAGTTATAATAGTCGAAATAATGCATTTATGAATGATAATAAGAAACTAAATGTAAAGAATATGGTTTTCAACCAAAATAACATATCCATTGTGAATAATTAAAGAGACAAAGAAACAGAAAAACCGAACACTTCAATGTTTATGCCTATATATATGCCATACAAAATAAAACAAGCTGTAAAAAACAACATATTAATAGCGAGATTATGATCGAATTCAATGATCCCCAATAAAGTCAAACAGACGGGATAAACCTTGTGCATTTCATAAAGATTCAGTGAATAATTTTTTAACCTACATTTGAATCTATCACCAATCCATGATATAATTTGATGTACATTGAAATGATTTTTCCCTTCCTCTTCAGCTTATGATAATATGAATATCATGTTAACTTGGAATAAAAGAAATATTTCAGTAAGTGCAAGATAATTTGCCAAATACCACTGAATTACACTTATTACAAGGATAGTTGGAAATGTAAAATGTAGACAACAATGAATTAAGTAATGCAACAACCGAGAAAAAAGAGAACAACTCAAAAATAAAGAAATGTAAAGTGGGAACTTTTTATTCATTTTACTGAATGAAAAAAAAGAAAATTCATCAAAAATCCCTTTATCAAACTTTGTCTTTAGTGAGGGCAAAGAAAGAAAAAAGGAACACCAGATAAACAGTACTTATATGTACAAGGATACGTTGAAAGAGTTTCAGATTAATTCACTGTCGATAATAATCCAATAATAACGTACATTTGACTCAGATTAGTCGTTCGATGAACGTTACAACCAAAAAGGTCATCTGGTTTCTCGACATAACTCAGTTTACAACAGTACGCAAAAAAGGTTACACTCGAACATTACATTTACAAATTTATTTAACACTTTTCACATACACAAATACTGACGAGATTAAATCAATACATAAATTATTTCAATCTTCTATTGTCCACAAAAACAAATGATCCGATTACTGTCATACAGTATATTTAAACTATGTATATTAGATTGGAAAAATATTTTTCCTGAAGAATAATAATTGTTAGTGTTATAACGACTATAGTTATTAATAAACACTGATCTTGTATGCCTACACTAATGTAAGCTAACTTTCAATCAATTTATTATATATTATATGAGATCATGCAACAACTACATACATATTAATTAGGAGAACAAAGAGATTAGGTTAGTGAAGAGAGCGTAACGAGAATAAATCAAGCATATATATGTATGTGTAAACTAGTTATGCACGGTATTTTCTAAATAGTTTAATAAGTTCTACACACTTACACGAACGACGCAATTGTACATGTAACCAAATGCATACAGGTCATTTGATTTGATGTGATGAAGAATACATAAAGGTCATATTATGTATATAATCTGATTAAAATGTGCATTTAACGAAAAAGAATAGGTTAATCTTCACAACTAAAAACGTATTGATTAACGGACCAAAACGCCACAATAAAAGATTATCATTTGATAATATATATATGGGTAAAAAAAAGGCGAAAGGGTTGACGAAAAAGCGATTGTGTATTAGTTCTAAAATGTGTACTGATATAATTAAGTGACAATACAAAACATAGCTTCATATAAAACTGATAGATATAACAACAACGTTCACAATAATTCATTTGTATTGGTTGAGTCCCGGAATGAACACCAACTATAGAATGTAGGTACACGCAGATGACGAATACCAAACAGGACGAGACGCGCGTCCTGGATTTATTTACTAGCCATCATCCATTTCTGCTTAAAATATTCGAAATACTTATAACAATAAGTCATAACAAACTGTTCGACAAACCGTATAGATTTTTCTAACTGAAACCTGATAAATTTATAACAAATAACAGTAATCGATTATTTGCGGTTAACAGAAAGAAAACTATTCATGTGGAACAATTTAGAAATTTCAAAGTTTATGATAGAATCATTGCTTCTGAATTCATTAAATATGACAATTTACAAAATGATTTGAACGGAGTATCTACACAAATGTCAACGACATACCGAATCAGATGAATTTGAATCCGAAAGTCAGAAAAATTAATCTTTACTTTACACCTGGTATGAAAATGAGTACTTTTTTAAAATTCAGATTCCATGAGGTAATTAAATCATAATGTAGTTAGTAAATCATCACCACTAGTTGTCAGAAAAATGTGGAATATAGTTAGTCTTCTTAATAGAAACGAAGAAGAAGAGGACAAACAAAGGCATATCATGACAACCGAATGTTTAAAGTATTTAAATTCATAACAATATGACTTGAAAATTAAGAAATGAAAATATTTCTTTAGAAAAACAAAACTGAATGACCAACCTAATTGTCTTCGACCAAGAAGATATCATTTACAGAAAAAAATCATGGATATAAACTAACACTATGTTAAAAATTATGGTTTTACAAGTGATAACTTTGCATTCGATGAATATTGATGCAACTTAGGAGTAAAATGTATTATATCACCAGTTATAGGAACATTATCTACACACATTAAATACACTTTAGAAAATAGTACTCTTCTAACCATATCAATCATTATGATAGCTGGTCGGCTTGAGGTGATGCTTGAAACAAATCTTAAAAAAACAAACGAACCGAAAAGTTTGAAAATATACTCAAGAGATACAGAAGACATACAATCGACTAAATCAGGATAGTGGTGTGTGCTACTGATGTCGACATATAAAAGTACTGTAAATCAAAAGTCAAAAGTGGAATGCCTGGTGGATGAAGGTTGAGAAAATCGAAGAGAATGATCGGTGTAGAAATGAAAGAACAATGTAGTCTGAGACAAATGATGGATATTTTACAAATAAAGTATATACTGTATGGTTTTCAGATTCTACCAAGATATTCTGTAATGCTGCATTAAAATGCATTTGGTTGTCTCCACTGATGTTCTTGTTCACTACAAAATAAGTTCTGTGAAAAAAATACTACGATATTTATAGAAATGACTAGTTTTTTTAAATATGCATGAGGCAAAATCTAAGAAGTTCATGCTAAACTGCTACTGTTTAATAAATATTGCATCGTTCTTATTTTAAATTTCTAGTTTAGTAATTTACTATTCTACGGCACAACAACATATATTCATTAAGGCTTTTTCTATCATAACTTGTATATTATTCTGAATTTCCTAATAAAAAATTCACATAATGAATTTGTCATTAAATCAGCCTTCCGAAGTCTTATCTGACTGAAATTTGAAGGCACAGTATACTATAAATAATTTTTTTAATTATATCAAGTTGTTTGTTCCAGTAATGTAAACAATTAATTAGAATATCACAAGTGTACCCGACATAATTACATCACCATTATAATAATAAGCAATTAAGAATAAACAGTTAAACTTCTATAATGTGATGCATATCTATGCACATACTTTACGTTTATCTACTATCTATCTGGTATATATTGGAATTTTGATATAATCTTAATTTCTTGTTAATCCTCATCATCATTATCATTTATCTACGACTTCATAAAAAAAAACTTAGGAAATCTGGAGAAAAACTTAGTGAAATATAAGAGGATAGACAAGAACAAAATAAAGATTTACTACTTCCACAAGGAAAAAAAAAACAAGAATAACGAGTAATATAATTTACAAGGTAAAAATATAATTTTTGTTACCCTCTCTCTTTAAATATATATCAATTTTCCAATGGTAGAAAGAGTTATTCAAATATTAACCAATGAACGTTAAAATAGGAAGAAAAATACACAACAAAACACACGTTCACCACCACCACCAATAACATAATCATCATCAGCAATAACGACAACAACAGGAAGAAGAACAATAAAAGTATATCGTCCACATTACTGGTCGATCGATCGACCAGTTAGTTTAGCCCAGAAGAAAATATAAATCGATAATACTTCTAGTTCTCGTTAGTTAGTTAGTTAGTTTAAGTTAATGTCTAGTTGACCAAAACATTGAAAAATCCGAATTAGAATAATTTGGCAGAAAAACTTATTTTTCCTTTGTAAAATCTGTATACGTGACTACTTATAGCATGTCACACGTGGAGGTAGGAAACAGTAAAGATTAATATTAAAGCCGAAAAAACAACAGATTGAGTGTCTCTCTGTGTATATATGTATGAACACAATAGCCGACTATTTTAAACGAGTGCTAAAAGGATATAGCTGAGGAATGAAGTTTAGATAGAGTAACAAATTTTATAAAATGTTAAAAGTTTGATTTAAACACTTAATTTAACCTTAGTTGTTACCTGGATTAGCATAATGCTTATATTTGACCCTAGATATTTAACTAGATCAACAAACAAACAAAATAGGTTAGTTATTTTAATCAAAAATAAAATAATAATATTCTAGGTATTTATATCGAAAATTTATAAGGAATTAACAGTAATTCCTCTTATCTTATGAATTACCCATTCAGTTGTAAACAACTTAGAATTTGGCATAAATGTCCATCAATCTAAAGTGTCAAAACATATCAGGCACTTTAAAAAGAAAACAAAAAGAAAGTAACCAAATGAATAGGAAAGTAATCGAAATAATAGTAATATAACAGTCATAGTGAGGAAGACTAAAAAAGAAAAGAGCATAATAAGAATGTAAAATTAAAAACCAAAACATAATAAGAGCATCTGTACTACTGTGAACAATATTAAAATGTCACCTAAGGTGCTTAACCTCTGTGATTAAGTGACTGAAGGATTGTCGTTTATATACAAAACTTCAGTCATGTTAGTATAACACTAACCATATAACAAGGATGAAAATATAGTTCACAAAATTACTACATTAGATTCAACTTCTATAATCAACAAAAGGCAAAACGGATCATAACAAACGTCTATTGGCATGTGAAAAATCGTTCATATATTTGATTTGTCAGACTAAAACAGTCTAGGTCTAGAAAAACCGAGTGATATATGGGCAATTAACACCCTTCTCCTCCTTAGTCATATTAGTGAAAAGCAAACACATTAATACAGTTGAAAAACTGTGTGGTACAACAACTATTTCACCAAAACTTCCATAAAATATAACATGATCCCTAGAAAAAACACCTATCATAATATAACAAGCTAGATTTACCAAAAAACACCGTTATGAATTAACCTTTTGCTTGTTATGAAAGGACGTTTGAGGATAAATAAACGCACGGACAAAATGAGTTGATCGATCGATGAAATGCGACGATACGATGTGACCGAGTCATGGTTGCTCACAAGACCGATTTGATAGCGTGAGCCCTCAAATGAACTGATATCAGAAAACAAGACAGCTATTGAGTGGAATAGGTTTTTCCATCTGTCAAAATAACACATATTTAGAATACTGAACACAGGAATAAACGTGACTAGACGTCGTTTAATAATGCAAGAACTATAGGTAATTTACTCTTTAATCCAATTAATGTCCAAATATTACATTTTATTTTTGCTCCGTCATATTATTATCACAATATCATTACAAAATATCAAAAGTATGGAGCGATGTGGACATAATGGTTAGTGTACCGAAATTCCAACAAGTAGATTGGTTCGCACTCTACTTCCTTTTGAACAGATTGACAGTATCCACTAGAAATTGCACTCAGAAAGTGTGCAACTAAAATCTGAGTACGTAGATCTATACTTGGCACATCAGTAACGTAATTAAAAGTTTGAAAATTTTGAAAATATACAAAGACACTATATAAACGTATAATATACAGTAGTGAAGAAAGTGTCAGGTAAAAAAGTAGTATTAGCAGCCAGTGGTGAAATTAAAATGAAAACGCTTCTTTAATAACGAGTGAGCTAACTTGCTCAATAATCAGAATAGATGAGAAAAAGTTAAATACGCAACATAAATCAACAATTATTCAGAGCAGCTGCTGTTTCATCATGTACAACATACGAAAAAAGTATATGAACAACTAGAACAATTCCCCAATAAACTAACAGAAAAAGGGTATTTACGGAAAAAGCAACAACTTATATGTGTTTTGGATTAAAACAAAACAAAGACGAAGCAAATATTATTCTTCATGCATCATTATCCCCGTCAATCTATAAAAAATAGTGGAGAATAATAACGACGAAAATCCCCTACGATAAAATAAGATACGTAGTGAGATAAGCTGTGCAAATCTGAGTAAATCTTATTTATCTTAATTTGTGTTTCTCTTCTCCTCCTGCCATAGCTTAGTGTCCACGGAATCGTACTCCTATTTATTGTAAAGTTTAAATCTATTGAATATAATGACGTAGCCAAATTGTGGCGAAGTTCTCAACTGATAAATTTGTAAAAAGAAAACTTACGTTTTTGATTTCCAAAAAAAATACAGACTAGTTGACATGATTAGCAAAGAACTAAAGGAGTTTTCAAACCGTTCGACCTTCGGTCAATAAGCATTAGGTTCGAAATCTAATGGGTATCAACATCCAATGATGTCAAGTATCATTATCCCTCATAAACTTAGAGTATGACTCATACTCAAGCATCTGGTTTATGAGTGAATTCAACTTTCGGTTCAGTTATAGTAACTAGTTTTACCAAGTAAAAATTCAGTTATTCGACGTTGGTAATGATTCCTTAACCTAGTATACGCGACAACTGCTTAAAGTTAAATCATCTGTTTAAGGCTCGAATCTGTAACAAAGTTGATGCTGAAATCAACTGTATAAATAATTAAACTATAATAACCAGCCCGTTTTATCCCTATTGGTAGAATAACATAGATTAATCAGAAAGTCGAGAACGAAAATAACACCACGGGAGCACACAGATAGGTGTTTTCCTAATATCAGGCCAAAAAGCTTGTCATTCGACAAACAGATACATTAGTTCTGCTTTAATGAAATAACCTCACCGATTCTAAAACGCCATCAAAGATTGTTCAGAGAACCCACTTAAGGCTATTCAAGTGACCATTTACTGAATATTTCTACAGTAATATAGGTCCTAAACTTTAACGACCACGATGATTGGGTGAGTGTCTAGTAGTGGATCCAGGACGCGCATGTCGTCGTATTCAGGAATTATCAGCTGGATTTACCTATATGCCAATGTTATTAGCTTACCATGGGACAATGGAATATCAACGGAAATAATAAACTTAATATAAAGTTATTTTTATAAAACCAGCATAGAGCTTGCTTAACAACATCAAAAGATGCATTGACCACTTCAATTACTCAATCATAACACATACTAAATGATGACAGACAATAAGTTGACATTATATAATAAATAGGATTATTGGTGAAAACAAGTAAACCACTCACCTCCTGTATAATTCACTTTGTTCGAAACTAAAATATCTGCTTGTAATGGAGTCATTTGTAGATAGTGTGAATCAGGATTTTTCTAGAATAGTATAAAACAAAAAAACATATTTAGTGGCAATATCACGGTTATAAATTGCAATTAACCAGAAAATTAACGCCCTGGCACGGCTAGAAATGCTCCTACGTGGCAATGTGTATATAGCCACTGCTATGGAAGTCCTGCCCATTTTCTTCTCGTGGGGAGGGTGCTGTTTACGAAATTGAGAGGACGAAAAGCGAATGTCCGGAAACTAAACCCAGTTCGTTGGTACGGAGGATCTATCTAAGTAAGTTAGAAAATCCTGATCACAAAGCAACAGGGCATGCGGGTTCCAGGATTTCGAGGGAACAAATAGTGTAATCATGGTCACCGTCTACTATGAGATCGCAAATCAAAACATTGATCCACCGCCTTGTGGTATATACTTCTAAGTCAAAGGCTCGGGGAGTGGCCTCCTGAGAAAATCAACTGCTCCAGTTTGTGCAGCCGGACAGTATCCCACCCCATACACAAGTTCAATTATTTCCGTGGAGCATATATATTTTGGTGATGAAGTCTATACTCCATAATATATGAAAATTTAATCAGTGAGCAAAATAATTCTAATATCTTTCTACGATATCACAAGCAACAGAAAATAGAGATAAATATGTTTATTGCTTACAATGAATGCCTCATGTAAAACTGGACCCATTGCCTCAGAAACAACTTCATCTACTAAAGGATACGTTCGGCAAAGATACTGAAATGTTGAACAATAAAAAAACACGAAAGAGTCTATGGTGATTATTATTATTATTATTATTATTATTATTATTATTATTATTATTATTATTATTAGTCAAATTATCCATTACTTAATTCAGTTAGATCTCATAGTTCCTTTTCTTAAAAGGTACCATATTGAAACTGGGTTCACATAGTGACGAAAATTATCAATGTTAAGATGTAACAAATATTCGTAATAATACTTATATACAACGAAACTGAAATTCGAATAAACTAAGTATTCAGAGAACTATTTTAGTCTAAGGAGTTCTAATGGTATGTACATTACTTAATAAAAAAATAAATAGGATCGATTCAAAAATGCTCTGGTACGGCCGAGAGTGGGGAAAGTCCGCTCTCCATCTCGAAATGCTCTCACATGGCCACGCGTATATAGCCTCTGCCAGGGAAGTCCTACTAACTGCCTTCTCGTGGCGGGGATGTTATTTACAAAAATGAGAGGACGAAAAGCGAATGTCCGAGGCTTTAACCGGATCCCAAACTGATGGTGCACATGGGCTCCAGTATCCTGAGGGAACAAATGGCGTATGAACCGATCGTTGGTCACCGGCTACCATGGGACTGCATCTCCTTACGATGCTCCACTGCCTTGTGGGTCAGACCTCTAGGTCAAAGGCTCGGGGAGTGGCCCCCTAAGAAAACCACCTGCTTCGGTTTGGGCACCCGGGCAGTATCACAGCCCTCGCACATATCGAATAAGATTTGTGTGGCGCATATGTATTTGGTGCCTTCTTGTACCAATATCTATGTGTTGAAATAAATAAATAAATAATGGATATAATGAATGATTTTAAACGGTTTGATAACTGTCGATGTGACTTAACTCGATCCATCTCCTCCTCCCACCAACTGTTTGGTAATTGAGTAAATTATTTAGAATTCTTAGCTTACATCTGAAGGCCATGTAAGTTATTATTAGTAGTAATAATGACAACAACAATAATTCAAATCTCATTATCATAATTATCAAACAGTAGACTCTAGTTTATATATGCAAATTCACACGCCAATAATCTCTGAAACAATATATACAACATTTTGGATAGATCTCAATATCAACCAGATAACGATTTTGTGGAAAATATGAAACTTTTGTTTAAATTTTCTAAATAGTTATCCTATAAATAAATCGTATCATTGGATGAATTAACTATTTACTTCATAAATCTTAGTTGCATTTAGCAGTTACAAAGTATATGTCTAATTTAAGTAAATAATTTTTATGTTTTGTTTCAAGTATAAAAGAACTTAAAACTAAACTTTAAAACAAACAATACAAATGATTACATTTACCTCTAAAGCTAAACTAGCTTGTCGTTGACTATCTGAAAATTCAAGATTACCCATAGCATATAAAAGATTTGATAAAGCGCCCATCTAATGGGAAAAAAATGAATGATGATGACGATGATGTTGGGGATGTAAAATCTTAAATTACAACTTACAAAAATCAATGTTGATTAGGTTAAAAATTTTTTACAGTAAATTATCATTTCGTGTGAACATTATTTTTGGAATTTTAATAGATTTTTAAGATATTTCGAGTCAACGATAAATACTCAGTTTAAATACCTTAATCATATTTCTTTTCACTGATATATAATCGAGAAATTTTTGTCTTTCTGAATGACTACACAAAATGAACATTCAATAGCTTCATCTAAAGAACTAGTCTTTTTAGTCTAGCGAGGAAGAGAAAAGAACTATAAGAAGTTAGTTTTTATTTCACGGTATTGACATTGAAGTGGCGCGAATGATTAACGCAGTGGACAAACATTTCACATGGTGAGGATGGAAGCATGTTTAAAAAGATAATTATATAATAACTGGTCAAGTGAAATCAATCTAACTTAGTATACAGTAAATGGAATAATGTGAATAAATATTTCCAGAAAGACATAACATTTATACATACTTTCTCTCAAATAAATATCCTCACACGATCATAATTTTTAAGCATCAATAACGAGAAGAAAAACAAAGTGATATTCCACTATTCTTTCAATAAATAAGAAAGAGCACAGAGCGTAATTAGAAACCAGTAGTCATACAGACAGAATGCTGGAAATTAATTAAAAAACAACTGATAGAAAAAGACAGCAATGAACACCATCACAACAACATAAACATAATGGCTGATAATTGAATACATAGAGAACATTCTGTTTGTTACATGTACCATCCATCAGTTAGGCAAATGTCATTGGTGTTTTTTTGCTCAAGTACAAAAAACAAGTCACAACATGACATAATTTGACAAATGTATAATAAATCTTCGCAAACACAAGCTAATTTACGATCATTCAACAAATCGTCGTTTCGTTGACAGATTTAGAAAAAGTGTGCAAAAGTGATATATATATATATATATATATATATATATATATATATATCACTTTTGCACACTGTTGTCATATATTCACGTGATTTTCTACGTAAAACTTCAAATATACCGACGTGTTTGTTCGAGAACATTCATTTTGCTAATGACTAGATTTTAATTGGTCTTCGCTTCCTAGGTGATAAAAATTGGCGCATTACATATGGTTTTGCTTATAACATGAAATAGCGCCTAAAATTCCATATACATATGTATAGTCAAGAAAAGTAGAGATTTATCAAATTAACCATACTTACACACACACACACACGACATATGATGCATCAAATATTAATTTTAAAATGCGAGGACAATATAATGTTAACTAAGTAGCTCTAAAAGGAATTAATCACCTTAATATTGTGATAAATTGTATCGAATATTATTTAATTTTGAAGTATAACACGACAAGGCTCCATATAAAACGGAATATATACATATATTTAAAAAGCTATTAATTTTACTTCCTGTTTTACACTCAATTCAACAATGCTATTTTGTATTACTACCATTATTATTATCGTGTTTGTTAAAGTAATTTCCAAATGGATAAATAGAAAATTCAATAATAGATCTTATTAATGTGCACATTGTTATGTGTATCTGTTATACTTTAAACAATACAAATTGGACAGAAATGCTAGCCAGTCAAGTACATAGTCTACCTCGGTTGTTCTGATACATACATAATTGACTTTACAATACAGATTTAGTAGCCTAGAATTGAGAATTTTGAACATTGTGCCACTTATAAAGGAGTAAACCATTCTATTATCTATCAAAAAAGACGTCAATATAATATAGTAGTCTACAATTTAGCTATGTGAAACATATCTATGGAAAGTCCAAAACGCGCACAGGTCATATGCATTGGGTCACCGGTTTCTTCGAAGTGGTACTCAGTTAGAATCAAATTGCCGACAAAAACGCTGATGTTAAATGCAAAGAACTGTGTAAGATGATAAATCAGTTGATGAAGATGTAAAACTAAGGTGATTAGAGCAAATGCATATAAAATCTTTGCATTATGCAAGCAAATTTATAACCATTTAACAAATTATCATCTCGTTAATAGATTTTTTTGAGAAGACAAATAGAAAAGTGACATAATTCACTCAATTTACTGTGATCAGAAATTTCAAGTGATAAACGCGTTAGACCCAGTGAATTACATGACGACATCAAAATATTTACCTTGATTATTTTTCTTGATACTGTTGAAGAATCTTGCGAGAGAATGCTTTGAATGCACGAATTCGTAAGAGGTTAGCAAGAAAGGAAAACAAAAGAAATATACATTGGAGATATAAATTTAAGTGTTACAAAAAAATCTATATAGTAATATAGTTCAACAGCTCATTAAAAATTATATTGTGGTGTATGTTACTTAAGTCGACAAACAGAAGTCATATGCAGCACCAGTAAGAAGTGGAATGCATGAAAGCAGAAGGCTAAGAAAATCGACTTGAAGAAAACAGAAAGGGAAGTAGAAAGGGAACGTGAATTGGAAGAATCACACAGAATGTCAAAGACAATTGATGGGATATTTGCAAATGAAGTGATTAGTGTATAGTTCTCATATTTTACGAAAATATTCTGTAATTTTGTATTAAACATAATATTGGTTTTCCCCACCCGAGTATTCATTCACATCACTGCATAAAAGAAATCTTTACATAACAACCACTCCCAATAATGAAAATAAATAATAATAATAGCGTCTAGCTTTAAGGTGAATTTCCAAAAGTTCTATTTTAAGACGTAACCAATGGATGGTCAGCATAAAAGAAACGGTTAACACCGACTTCATTGAATGTTAGCGAGATTTAATTAGAATTATGAGTGTGGACTCTTACGGTTATCTCCAGAATGTAGATGAACATTTAAATGTGAAATCTTTCAAGTACTTTTTAACTTTCAATACACCTAACATGATGTTAGGTTATAATTAAAATTGTGGTTTTAATTTCAACTGCACCGAATTGCGAATATATTCAAGTTGGGTTATCATATGCAAAAAGTACATAGGAACTGAATGGCAGCGCCGGTTAAGAAAACCGAAAATACTGAATTTGATTCAGATTTACAGTCAAAAATTTTGAATGTTTAATTAAACCTCTAGATTTTGCATTGATTCTCTATTAGACGTAAAACTTTCAAAAACTCATTTGATTTCTACAGCGTTTATATATATGTATATTAAGTTAATATTAAGACTAAAATTAATATACGATACAATGACTTTATTTATTAATACGTATTACTATTAAATGATGACCATCGAAGTGTGATTAGAAATAAAAAGTAAGTGTTTGCTTATTTAACTGATTTGATATATATATATATATACTATTATCTGCAATTCAGTCACATGTACCTAAAAATCGAGGATTTTTGTCATTTAATAGGACAAAAGACAATATAAGTCACGATAAACATGAACATACAGACTAACCTGTCATACATAGGTATATATTCCTATGGATAAACTGGGATATTGAAATTGAAGAGAAACTATTATCTCCTTTTAACAATAAAAATATTTTTCTTTATAAAAATCAAGTGGATAACTATTCTAATATAAAAGTGATAAAACTGTCCTATTGAAGAGTAATCATGCACATATGAACAGCATGCTTGAAAACTTATATTTCTTCAGAAAATATATACAGGACAGATTATAGAAGATAGAATACTGAGTCATTTTACGCTGAATCCTATCAGTGGTGTCACAATAGCTTCTATTAGAATATATGCAGTAATACGGTATTTATAAAATTGACATTGATTGAATGAACTTATTACAAAAAGTAAGCTATACAGTTAACATACATAAAATAGAAAAATATAGCCAGGTATTAAGTACACATATAATCAGTCAGTCAACTAAAAAGTAGGACCAGACACATATATGCATTCGTCCAAGCTGCCACACATCATTAGCACAACAAGATCAACATTAAATTCATAGAAGTAGTCACTTCAATCGTAGTAATATGTAAAAGAAAGATTGTGTATAATGATATAATACAAGAAATAATTAGTTCGTAGAAAGGAAGATATAAAGCAATTTTAATCTCACGCTTTTAGGGAAGACAAACAGTGTATACACCTACGCCACTATGATAGATTCTGAGCCATGTTACCCAGAGTCTCCAATCATTGGTTACGATAGTCACGCGGACCCCAACCAAGTAGTCTGCATTTAACATGGCTAAGACTAAAAGTTAGTAGCTTCAAGCACTGATGCCACGTTTTGATTTGGTCGCCCCTAACTTTCTTCCAAACATCCCCAACACTAGTCAGCATTGAGCGTCGTGGTAATCGGTGATCAGGCATACGCAACACGTGGTCCAACCATCTCAGTCAATGAAGATTCACAACCTCATCAACTGATTTACCATCATTACCTAATACCCTGTGTGTCTAGCCTCACTATTACCTACCTGGTGATTTCAGCACATGCGTGCAATATTTCTAAGACGTTTGTGATGAAGTACTAGTAAATACGGGTATCCTTTACTCTTAACGCCACCTTTAGCAATCGTACAGTAGAACAGAACAAACTGCCGCACAGTATACTCGTCCCTTAATTGATAGACAGATATCTCGCCTTCGCCATAGGTGACGTAAATTGACAAAAGCCAAACGAGCTTTTCGAATCCGCGCTGAAATTTCGTCAGATGTCAACCCATTAGGGTTGATCAGACTTCCAAGATAAGTGAAATTGTGGACAAGTTTGACTACTTCACTCCCTATGTTTAGTTCAGGTGTTGATGCAGGTTAGACCTGAAGCAACAACTTGCATTTAGATGGGCAGAAATACATCCCAAACAACTGGCATATAAATTTCCTACACATCATTTGTTGACTACACAAAGTAAATTATCTGCTGTAAAGTACTTTTTGTGAGATGATCGTGATTAGTGACAAAGGGAAACAGAATGATTTGTGTTTGTTAGTTCTAATCGGGAATCAAAAGTAGGGGAAATTAAAAGGAATCTATTTCTTTTTACACTGTTTGATCTATTACCTAAACAAAAGGTTATTTGCTTGAAATGTTCACAAGATAAGTCTTCCGAATACTAGTGGCCGAACAGTAAGTAATGTCAAGTATTTTTCTTTTCTTGGTAAGCTTTAAAGTGTCTAGACCAGTTTTGTATGTACCAAGCACGTATACAACATGAAGCTACTGAAGAGTTTTAGCTGACGGATGAACGACATCAAACCTCCCAAAGAAACTGATAGTTCTGAAAACCGATTAAAGAGTCTGAAACATGTGTTCCGCATGAAAACCCACTGTTTACTGATGCAAATAAATAAAGCTATTATGTACTGTTCTGAGTTATCCAGACTTTAAAACTGATGGGTACATTTACTTCTTTCCATCGTTCTTTATGCCATAAACATTTCGTTATCCCACATCTATCTATCACTTTTATACTTATCAATTTTATTATCTTTCTCCTAGCACAGGAATACATCGTTTCGCACATACGTAATTGTAAGTGATGTACTTATCGTGTGATACCCTACGTTGGTATGTTTACTTATCACATTTACACATACAAACTGATGACTCTTCATCGCTGTACGTCGAAAAAAACGTTTACTTTCTTTGAGAAGGACAAGAACAAAGTATCCGAACTCGATAACCGTTACGATGAATGGATGCACATTACAGATAAAACTTCAGCGAAGTATTTCCAAAGTGTCAGTAGTTAATCGAATAATAAAGTAATAGTTGTTGTTTCTTTCACAAAAAAGATTTAAAAATTAAGAATGAAATAATTCTCAATCATTGTATCCGTTACAATAGTAAATTGGTTATTCTACTTGTTTAAGCCATTAGGCTGAAATGTAAACTAGGAGATTACTTTGCTCCCTTTTTTTAAAAGATTTGATATGGATTAAATCCCTGTAGTAGTAGTAGTATTCCCACCCAGAAAAGTAGAAGCTCGTAGGCCTTTCAGAAAAAAAGAAGAGACACTTCAAAGAAAAGTGTGCGAGATCGAACCACTGGAGAAAGCAAAGCAAACAGATGCATTAACAGTTCACTCTGCTGCGTTTTATATGCCAGTAGAGGAAATCGATATCTGTAGTGAAGACGGTTGTTACAGTCCACACTTTCCTATTACTTTGAGACACTTGCTAACACCTAAAATGCGTTTAGAGATACAATTAATACATCAGTATGGGACGTGGAACTGTCGCAAGTATTCCTTTTATATTTACATAGAATGTGCGCACTAAAAATATATGCATTCTTCAGTACGCACATGAGCATTGATGCGCGCGGTCACAAGTATAAGTTAAATGTATATGTAGAACACATGGACCGAGATCTACACATTCCATGACACACACATAGGTATAGAAGTTATCGCTCACAAGTATACCTTACATGCACATATAGAGTGCATAGATCAAGGTCTATACACTCCAAAGTTTACTCACCAAGCCATAGTCCAGCGGTTACCTAAAGTTTAATGAATAACAAATAACCAAATCAATTCGGATGCAAGTCATCACTGACGACGTGCTTTCATCACGCTCATGTCACAAACAAGTTTGGTGTCGACCCCCACGCGCTGATTACAGCACAGTCTATAGTCTTCGCTCTGTCCCACTCCTGACAGAACTAATGAGCCTTTCCAAAACGAATCCAATCAGACACCGAAAGGAATTTTTTCTCCAGCACTACACCTCACACACATCAATACAAAGTTAACTGCCCCTTCCTACTAATCAGATTTTAAAATAGCAGATGATTAACTTGATCTCCATCTGTGATAGAGTGGGTGGTAAACTCGGTCTCTACTTAACCGCCCGCGTGAGCTCATGGACAGAGTTCACTAACTCCGGGGTACTAAAAAGACTACACGAACCAGTTTGTATTAGTAGCCAAAATATGCAAGAACAAGTAGATAAACAATTATTGAATATTGCCTACCGTATACATTTAGCTGCAGCTGCTTGTTGAACAAACACCGATAATGGTTGATTACCATCGAATTCTGAATCCGACCCTTGATTTTGATGTCTATGATTCTTTTTCATCGTTTTTTCTGTTTTACCGCTGTTACCGTTAGCACAAGTGCTAGGGTATTTGACATTTAATTTAGTTGACTTTGTATTGCTCATAGACAGAGGTTTCATTTCTGGTATGCCACTAATATTACGACTATCTAACGGGATAGGATCAGAAGCTGGAAAAAAATATGATGACAAAGTGATATACAGTGTTTAGTAATTATAAGTCTAAGTATTGCATAGATCTTTCTAATATATGAAAAACTAAGAGTCAAGGATAAACCGAGACAGATTTTTTAGACAATTAAGAGTACTTATTCCTGATGTACACATTACTTGATATGGTCATCAATACAAATTTCAAGTAATTTATATGCTTACAAAAACCCTGAATTTACTACAATCAACATATACTTGCTTCTTGGTCACTCTTTTTTTTCCGTACCAACTAAACATTCACTGATTATCGATTTTTTTATTTTATTGTATTATGTTAGAAGTGTGGTAAGTTGATGGAATATACACCCGAGACTCTATAATGTTTCCTCTTATGATCGAATATGAAGTTAGATAACAGTTCATGATATGGGGATATGAATAATAAGGTTGGGGAAGATAGATATTATCAATATAAAATGATTATTTTTACAGCTGACTCATATTAATTGTCATTATATTGGAATTAATTTCAACTTGACATTGTAAAATGCCATTAGAGTATTTTACACCACTTTTAATATCAAAAATTATGTAGACAATTTAACAGAGCCTACCGAACTTCTGTAGACAATCATTTGGAAACATAACAATAAGATAAACCAAAAGTTATCTTCCAACCACATTCATCTTTGTCCTAACTACTACTAACATACTTAAATTACTGCTTTAGTGTATGTATAGGACATAAATCAACTTTATTATTATGTACAATCAAAAACAGAATATGAAAGAAATGTTATTTTTACGATCAAATTATTTAATTACACTTACGATAACTTTCCTCATTACTGTCCATATGAGATGAACTTATTTCATCATCGTTATCATCTGATGTTGCTTCAGTGAATAATTTGCCCAGCTGTATTTCATGCTGAGGTTTTAACAAGGTAATTAAAGCCATTAATATATCATCAGCAATATCGAATCCCATCAGAACACGAAGTAATTCAATAACTAATACATATAGACGAAAATGGAAAGAAGGTAAAAACAGATTTGGTACAACTTTTTAGTCAGAGTACAGTATTTGAAAAATTCCCATATTTTGATTTAGAAGAACATATATCAGCGAACAATATTGTTTTCGATTAAATTCTCATCAGGCTTTACTCTAATATACAATAACATTTATATGCATACATGAAATTATTAAACCAATCAAGGTAGTTTATGAGTCAATGATAACAGTGGAAAAGACTACATAAATAAACATAATAAGTGAAAAGTACAAATCGGTAGTGTGACGACAGGTGTGTTAGTTGTGATAAGGATAATAAAGGCTTGAATCAATGTTTCATGATGGGAAATAGGTCAATCATTAGAAAATTATAGACACTGAAATAATGATCATAGAAACTATAAGATTCCGTAATAAGAAGTGTTCAGATAATCGTACCGTGAAGCGTATATTTGAGAAAAGAAAAGGGTGGGAGGGGGTGAAGTGAAATAAACGAAAAAAGAGTACGGAAAATAATAATAATAATAATAATAATAATAATAAATACAACCATAAACTGCCTTGATTGGCTGAATAATTTCGCGTATGCACGTAAATATTACTGTATATTAGAGTAAAGCCTGATGAGGACTTAATCGAAAACAACATTGTTCGTTGATATATGTTGTTCTAGAGCACAATATATTCAAAAGCATCCAATGTCTTTCTAACCAATATTCAAGTACTATAGTTTCCTAAACGTTTTGAAAAATATTGAAGTTCATCAACAGAGGTTAGTAGTAACAGTAAACGTCTAAGACTCTAGGATAAATTTGCTTATGCTTCGTTTCTAGTTTACCTAGTATATCGTTGAGAGTTAGATCAATACGGGATTTTTAGTTATACAATTTAGACGAAAACATTGTTCAACATTGGCACAACTGTATTTTTTTTATACGAATATTCGTCAAGATTAGAACGAATAGTTTGACAGTAATTGAGCGCCGAGTATTTTTTTAGTTTTACATAACCTTTGCTCATCAATGCGTATTTGTCCCAGACTGTATGACGCAATGAAAATTTAAAAAAACTGAATCTGCAGCAATTTATTTTGATGAGAATGCATGGGGCAAAGTAGGGGGTTGTTTTCCTCTCAGAAATAACTATTTTAAAATGTTATGGGAGTCGGTTTAATTGTTCCACAATGATACTTAGAGTTGCGATTTGGTCTGTACACGATCTATCCTTACGGAATCCAACCTGTTGGTCTCGAAGTTGGGCGTCTATGGAGTCCTTCATCCTATTTAACGATTCCCTGTTGAAAACTTTTCCTGGTATTGAGAGAACAGTGATGCCCATGTAATTATCACGTCTGCTGAGATCGCCTTTCTTTGGTATTTTGATCAGAAGTCCTTCTTTCCAGTCTGTTAATACTTGTTCTTCATCCCAAATCTTATTGAAGAGAAAACTAATAGAAAACTAACTCGTTAAAGAACGCTAACCAATATTTCTATTCATCTGTATAAGATATCAGCATTTGAGAACAGGGAGACGATATAGTAAATTCTATGCATATTATATATACATTATGGAGAAAATATACCGAAACAAAAATGGATGTATTAATGCATCTTAAAGCAGATCTTAAAAAGAATAATGTTAGGATAGACATTCAGTGATATTTCTATTTACGTCATAGTCTAGAAAATGCACTTTAATTAATTAATTAATTTACGCAGATACTTGAAAAACCTCTAAGATAAATAAACATTTTCGTAAGGAACGAAGTTAAAGACAGAAATCAAGACATCAGATACCATGAAATTGAACAGACTTTTACTGAGAACAACTTTATTTTAAAAAATACTTTAAAAACTAATACATGCGCTACATACTTGACAGAAAAATAAAGTTACATATGAACTATAAAAGGAAAAAAATGGATTTATGACAAACTAGATGTAATATGGCATTTGAAATAGCAAATAAATCCTATACTTAGCTCTAACATATATGCTAGACAAAGCTATATATAACCTGAACTGTTATATATTGTAGACAGTTTTAGTCAGTTCATTTGATTGAATTCGAAATCCCAGTGCTAAGAAAAAAATGAGGGATATTTCAGCGATATTTACAACTCAAGGACAGCCTCGAGAAATATATCAACTTAAACTGACACAATCCAATGTCAGAGACAATAATTTAGTGCTCCAGTGGAATCGAATTTTCACCAATGGAGTATATGGTTTGAAACATCATTCATCCACTGAAATTTGGAAAACTCATACACAAAACAACAATGATAACAATAAGAATAGTACATAACCCAATCTGAAAATGTGTATCAAGTTGTTGAGTTATATTAAATTACGTTTTTACGGGTAGTCGGATCAATTTGTTTAAGCTACTTGTTAATGCAAGGTTTCAAAACCATTTCACAAATTCTGTGATATAAAAAGTAGAAACTAAAATCATTTATTCGTTGTATATATATAATCTAAACTGTATGTAATGGTTCTTATATAAAATCCCTTGAATCAATTAGAATATACATGAAAGCCATAACAGATAACATACCTGCTGATTGGACTTCCAAATGCAATGACTCCAGTAAGTAGATTATTCTGTCGATTAAGGCCCTATTGGCAGTATTACGCTTTGCCTAAAATAATAATATTATTATTGATAATAATGAATTTATTGTTTAATAACAAAGCTAATTTACAAAATATAATGATTGTTAATGGTGAATGAATCACACAATGTTCTTGTGTTTAGAAAAAAGCCCTTCCAGATCAATTTTTAGAATATATATCGATAATACTACTGTTAGTGAAGTAAACATTAAAATCATGAATACATTGTCAGAAAAAATGAGCTGATAACTGATAAATAATAATGTAAAGTTTATTCACATCAAGATTCTTCGGTTAAGATAAATTATTTAAACAAGCATCACTGATATTCGGAAATCAAAGCTTTAGCTTATGCGAAGTTATTAGTGGATGGGATAACCTATGGTGACATAGGCACATTAGTATAATGAATGAATTCTGTTATGAAGCATCTTACAAAGTCAAAGAGGAAAATGTTACACAGCATTGATACCATATGTATAAGTTTCAACTAATCAAAAAATAATTACATACCACCCAGATCAATAAGCATGCATGTTTTCTTGAATAAGGTCCCTGAGATTGTAGAGTAAATTGGTTAAAAATAACAGACTTCATAACACAAAGTTTATCACAACGATGGATATGCATTTATTCTTTATCCGTCACTAAATAATAGAAATTTCGTGAATCTGGAAACGCAGTACACATCGATGGCGCGAGATTCTAAAGTTCTAGCTAAGGAAGCCTGTTGTCCTATTTGGCACAGTGTTCAAACGTCAAAGGTTCCTACATGTAGTTTAGAGCGTGGTTTCAGGAGACCAGGAATAACGTTCCATGTACTTGAATCGTTCGCACTTGAGGCGCGGGGTGTTAAAGGGACGTGAGAAGGGTTAGTCGTGGAGATAAGAGAGCTATTAGGATGTGTAGGGAGGATTTGAATGTGACCAACTAGGTCTCGTGTGCTGTTACGGGTATCAAGGCTGATAACACTACTTGGCTGTCCACACCGTGGGAGGGTATTTCATAAGGAACCTGAAAAGGAAGTCGGATTAGTGTTAGTCTTAACGACCTGAGAGCGTGACCGCAAAGCCCAAGGGACAACTGCTTGAGTCCGGTCGCGCATGGCCTTTTTGTGGGAGGTTTTTAACGTGTTGGCTCCGTTCTTCAAAAGACCTTACCACCGGAGACGTAGATCCGTAAGGTAAGGTGAGGTGTGACATTTTTAGGGTCGAACTTTTCTAAGCCCGACCTACCTTGTGAGAAGGAAGCATCGCTGCAGATGCTGGTTGTCGGAGGGAAACACCTTACTGCTGTCACACCCCTCTACAGTCAGCAGTACAACTTCGCCCACAGACCTTGAGTTGCTGCTTTTAATTTTACCGTTCTCCAATCGACCTGAATGGCATGGTAGAACCTATGTTCCAGCAAATATAGCTCGGTTGGGTCATCACGATTATTTATTTGAACACATATATATTGGTACAGGAGTGCGCCAAACATATATGCGCCACACAATTTCAGTTCATTAATTGCGTGTAGGCTGCGTTACTGCCCGGGTGCCCAGACCGAAGCAGGTGGTTCTCTTAGGGGGCCACACCCCGAGCCTTTGACCTACAGGTCTAACCCACAAGGCAGTGGAGCATCGTAAGGAGATGCAGTCCCATGGTAGCCGGTGACCAACAATTGGTTCATACGCCATTTGTTCCCGCAGGATACTGGTGCCCATGTGCACCATTGGTTTGGAATCCGGTTAAAGCGCCGGACATTCGCTTTTCGTCCTCTCATTTTCGTAAACAACACCCCCGCCACGAGAAGGCAGTGAGTAGGCAAGCCCGACCATCACGTCAAAGTAGCAGCTACGGTCGGGATATATATATCTATCCATGCACTCGATATCATAAAGAATAATGACAAAACTAAATAACAGTATATTGATAGAGCATAGAATCAACTGCATTAGTAAATATGGAAATACAATTCTTTTTGTAAAATGTTTTTGAATAAGTTACGTGAGAGGTTATCGCTATATATGTATCCAATTATGAACACAATAAAGGCAAAACATTGACCTGAAATAATTAATTGAATAATTATGCAATATTATATTAACAGGTAAAAAACGTTTAGTGCTATCTTTTTGTTCCTAAGCTTTAATATTCTAAAGTATGTTTTATCAGCTGACACAGGGTAATTAACATTTTTTGGCATGTTAACCAAAAAGTCTCATAAATTTGTTGAAAAATGAATATTGTAACAAAAAGAAGGGATATGTGAGCCTCTCTATGCGTATGTTTAAGAGAAATCACAAAGGTATTATTTATTCCATTAAATAACACTTTTTGTTTAGCCTATTTCTCTTCCAATTCATACTAATATTAACAATTACATGAACGATTACCCTACTGCTTCGTGTTCACAATTTTAGAATCAGTGTAGTAATGAAATTTATTATTTGTTTATCTGAACACAAATATTGGTACAAAGGGACACTGAATACATATGCGCCACATAAATCATTCGATTTGTGTGAAGGCTGGGGTACTACCCGCGTGCCCAGACCGAAGCAGACTTTTCCCATCCTCGGCCGTACCGGGGCATTTGGGAGCGTAGTAATGAAAACATATTATCTAACACTGTAGTGATCCAAATTACTTTAAAACGGATGGTGGAACAATAAAGAAATCAATTTAAGACCAGTTAAGTCCGAGTTTATTTATTTTTCACTTGGAATTTCAGGCTGTGAGTAGCACTTTTAGTAAGCTATATAAATATGAAAGTTATTCATGAGATTCAAAAAATTTTCACTTTCAGATAAACTAGTGAATTTTGACCAATTTTGTAGATATTGTATGAATGACTAACAATCGGTTTTCAACTAAGATAAAAACAGAAATCTGTTGATTATTAGCACATCAGAAACGATAACAACTCGTAAGATTTATAATCAAAACTGATTTTATGCAAATAACCATTTGTGTTGACTGAATATTTATCAACTTGTTAATTAAAAGCAAACAAAGCTACAACTACATCTGAAACCAAAGAGTGACTATGTCAATTTAGATACTTTGTGGTAGTAGTATTATTAAATCTTATTTATTTAAATCAAGTTTTCCGAGAAAACAGTAACTGACATCATTTTAACGAATTATGTGGAGAAAATTTACTGATAATTTGCATTTCCACTAAATTTCACAATAAATTTTCTTAGGGAGTATTAGTATTTCGAATGGTTTAGTTGATGAACAATAACTGGAGATAACCCAAGAAAACGTTATTCAGTATGTCAGAGGACTTTAGTAAAAATTTGGAGTTTTATGTTTTCAACTAATGTATTTATGAACAGACAGTTGTTAGTCTTTTTATGTAGATGTGATAAATTAGCAGATAAAGCTATAAATCAACATGGAATGAGATAGTTAAGAACAATATTACGAATGTACAAAAACCAATCTCGATTCGCCATACTGTCTAGTAAGAGAAAGGGTTGGAATAAGTCTAAATGGTAGCTAGACAGAGATATGACTTCGATCATCAACTTCTAATTTGGGAAATATAGGTAGATAGATGCAGACTTTACGGTTGTAATCAATAAAAGAGTTATAATGGATGATAACTCATAACTTCAAGTAACATGACTGTAAATCGATCGCACTAGTGCCAAAGTATTTAGTTTTTACCCTTATAAACTTGGAATATGTTATTTCGTCTCTTCATTGTTCGATTTAATTTATCCCATTTTTCTTTTTATATTTGGTTTTTCACTACTAGCGACATTATTTCATCATATGACTTGTTATTGGTTTTTCTTTACTGTGTAGATGTGAAAAAAATGACAACTTAAAACTACAGCGTTAATATACCTTTTTTCTATTTGACATTAAACTCTTAATGAGTATTTTTATCTAGAAAGCAAAAACTGGTTCCATGATAACATATCATTTTATAAATGAAACTGACTTTAAGCTATAAGCTAGAATTCAAAAACCGATAAGATGGATTGTGTAATAATTACAGAACATTTGAATAGTCTGCATGAGTTTTATCATTTTACATGAAAGTACTAAAGCATATACATCGAATGAACAAGGAGTAAAGTACATGTACGCTTCAAAGAACTCCATTACGCTTTGTTGAACTATTAATTATCAACAAAATATCAACTAAACATATGCGTTTAGAAAGGGATAGTTTTTAATTTATCACTAGCATGAAAAAATGATACATCTTGTTGAGGTTGGAAACCAATCTAAACTAGAGCTTTTATTGGTTTCTTATCATAACAAAACTCAACAATATCCACAACACCCATACAGAATATATTTTGTGATTGATCTCCATTTATTACTACTGTGGTGTATGTATGTTAACAGACATAAGTAGTATGTAACATCAAACGGATGATGAATGCATGAAAGCAGAATGCTGAGAAGACCGAATAGAAAAACAAACGGGAATGTAAACAGAAAGGAATTGTGAATTGGAAGAATCATACAGGATGTGAAGGACAATTGGAAGATTTGCAAATGATGTGTTTAATGTATGATTCTTAAATTTTACGAAGAAATTCTGCAATTTTGTATTACATGATAAGTTGTTTTACCCCACTTGAATGTTCGTTTACAACACTACTATTACTATCATGTCGTTTGTAATATGTCATCTAATCTTCACTTAGCCAAATTGCATTTCATTCACCCAGTTGTTGAAACTTATATTCTATAACCATTCTATAACTATAACACAATCTTATTAATCTTCGAGCTCTGATTAATTAATATCTGACTACTTGATGATTTATCTTCAAATAACCTTACGGACGGAAATGAATATATATATATATATATAGTGCGAATACTTAGTAGTAATTAACTAAACGACCACATTTATTATTATTTTTATTATTTATCTGAATTCATAATAGCCTAGAATTCACTCAAATCAAAAAGGTGAAAATAATGATGACGCGCATTCACAATACAAGGATTAATGATGCTACTGATTATTTAAGGTCGAAAGATATTGGTTAGTCGATAAAGGTCTGAAATCTCCCCACACTTCTCCGAATGGTCAAAAGCAGAGTGAATTTGCGAAACTTATTTGAAATGTTATAATATACCTGTAAAATTCGTATACTTTGAAGTGCTAATTGTTGAGCTTTTGGTGAATTACATGGTAAAACGCCAATTAATCCTTTGTAAACTTGATCAGAGAAACGAGGATTGCCTTCAGCTAATATTTCTAATAAATCTCTAGCAGACTCTTGTGTTTCCTCTGACTTTGACTTGGCCATACATTCAGCAACAGCACGAATGCCTAGAAATTGTTTTAATCGAAATTGCACAGGTGATCTATATTATTTATAATAATCGGTAAACATCACTACAAATTTAAGAAATTATTTATGATATTATAAAATATGTCAATGATTAAAAAATTTGAATTATAAAGACATTAATATCAAACAATTATTTTTAACTCAGTAGTTCTTCATTGGTTATCAGAGTAGCCTAATGTACATCTATGAATAATTTTGACAGAAATATTATTCCACAATGTTATACTACACATATCATTTGATTATGAAAAGATTCTCTTTCACTTGACCAATATACCTTAATAACTAAATTTATTTACCAATGAAGGCACAACAGAATAGTATCACATTATGATTTTTATTATTATTTATTAACTGGAAATGTGAATCGAACTGTCTTAACACAGATTGATTAATCAAACATTATCTATCATAAGTGGTCACATCTTGTGCTTTTTTCTCTCTTTCTCTTTCTCTCTTTCTGATGTTTCTTTTACTTCATAATGAAAAACTGCTCAAATCCAATTAACATTTATCAATCAATGAAGTAATTGTTTTTTTAAACAGATAATACACATATATTATTATTATCATCTTTGTTTTCATTTCAAGTATAGAAAAGAAACTTATTTCCCAATTTTATTATCAGTAATAAATTCAATTAAACACTAAATAAATGAAAAATGGTTAAGGAGATGAGAGAAGAAAAAATATAACTAAATAACACTAGTAGTCGTAGTATTAACAGGAAAAGTAGTAGAGACAAGGGGGAACTATACAAATGATATAAACTTCATGAACCTACTATTTGAAGGATCTAAGACGTATACAAACGAAAACTACATAGCCAAACAAGGAATATAATGCAAAATAACCAAAAAAATAGAAACTTAAGGGAGAGCGACGAAATGAAACATAAAGTAAAGGAAAATTAAGTAAGATAACAAGAGACAAACTAACGTTTATAATGATAAATAGAAAGGGAAAAAGCAATTATTTACCATAACATTCACAAATTGTCTCCTTATAATGTGTACCACCATTGGCAACGCAAGATAATACTTTAAGCGCCCAACGTTTATCCACTTCTTTTGCACTCGATGAAATGCATACTTCCTGTAAACACAATACACCACCATGCTCCAAAAACTCTAGTAAATAATTATAGCTTTTAGCGAAGAAGGTTGATGGGTTGGTAGGTAGATAGGGAAAATATCAAGAACACAAAGGATAAAATACAAATTGATTGTTTCCTTTGAGTTGAGGGGATTTATGTGATTTGTGAATAGATATACATATGAAACGTCATTAATTGGATGAACAAACTAGCTTATAGTAGTTTTTTTACAGAGTATGTAGACTAAAACTTCTAGATATTATAAACAAAGTGTAAGCGATGAAGAGCGTAAGAAATATACATTTTTTTCGCCAAACCTAATCCAGAACTGGATATTATCAGGGAAAGTGTGTAGTGTTGCGATATCGCAAACTGTAACTGTGTTAATAAAACACTCTTTCGTGGTATAAATTTTACTTAGATAACGGCAGTCCAAAATTTATTCTAAAAGATGTAGAAATGTAAAGATTATTGATAATCGACATGTTGAGCTAAAAGACTCAGTGAGATATAACACTAACTGTAAACATGGATTACATTCAAATTGCTTACTGCACACCAATAAAGATTATCAAGGGAGGATCGATTCGAAAATTTAGTACTATTACGCATAACTTGCAATATCAGTCCGTAGAAATTAAATAAAACTGTTGCCCTTCTGCATAAACCTCCCAAACTGAACAAATTTTCTGTGATTGTTTAGATTAGCCTGCCTAAAATGTTGAAATATATAACAAGAATTGCAAATTAACTAACCAACTATCTATCCATATAGAACTCTTGGTTGATATCTTAAAGTCGTGTTTTTTGTTAAGTAAGCCTACTGGTCATTGTCAACCTAGACGTCTTAAAGCTAATACTTGTAACAACTCGTTGTAGCTGACAATATATGAACCATTTCTTTTAACAACAAATGAATACTGTCTAGGTAGTGTGCAGAGTATTAAAAAAAGCAAGGAAAGTCAGTCTGTGAAAATGAGGACTTACATTAACTGAAATGGCTGAAAATGCACTCTAAATTTTAAGTCAACATCTAGTCCTATGATCGACGCTGGTTGGTGAAGAATTGGAGTGAAAGAAATCTAAAATTAACCAAGTTAAGCCATAGTATTAATTTAAGTAAGCACACTAAAGAAGTGATTCATTAGTTGAGGAGTCGGATCTTCAGCCTTCAAGTAATGGGTTTGAACCCTATTACACCTATTACAATCTGGACAGTCAGAGAGTACCAGTAACCCTTGGTTCAAAGACAAGTACATGGATTTGTACCTTATAAAGTAGTTATTACGTCAAATATAGGCACTGAATCCTATAGAGCCATTTGGGTCCACAAGCTTATATTAAACCAATAAACTGGATTACCGTAGAACCAGGAGTTTAAATACGAATAAAATAAGTAAATTAGACAAACCGCGTAGATTTACTTCTTTTCCATTTCCATTGATAATTCCTAACAAATTGTACTTTTAGTATATTATAGGCTCAGAATCGATCACAATAGCGTAGGTCTATACAATCTCTGTCTTCCCTTAAACTATGAGACTAAAATCGCTTCATATCTTTCTTTTTATAAACTAATTCTTCCTTCCTGTACTATATCCTTATATGCAGTCTTTCATTCATATATTATCACCATTGAATTAACTACTATGAATTCGGTGTTCATCTTGCTGTGCTAATAAGGTATGGCAACTTGTACCGATACATATATGTGTCTGCTTCTACATTGTAGCTGACTGACTGATAGTTTCATTTATTTTCCATGATCACTGAATATTTATACAATTGTTTGTATAAAACATTGTTTCGTTGAGCTGGTAGAGGCTTTTTATTTTATCCATCGCTTGATTTGTGCTTATAAACTCATGTTCAGACCACTACTCCTTTCCTTAATCGTGTACTGCTATTCTATAACGCCTCGCACTTTTCCTACGTATCAGACAGTAAATTTAATAAATAAAGGTACCTCTTAGAGAGGGAGTATAAATACCTAATCAGTCAATTTTAAAATTTGCCAGGTTCTAACGAACGACGTATTTAAACAAGAACTTTCGTCTAAATTTGAACGAATAGTTTCACAATATTTGGGCGCCGAGTTAATTTGAGACATTAAAAAGAAGAATATATTTGTAAAATCTCAGCGAATGAATTTTAAGTAAATCCAACGTTTCGCTAAGTTTGTTGTTTGATTATATTTTCCTTGAAAAAGCTTGGACCAGATTGCCAGGCGAAACGTTGGATTTACTCAAAATTCATTCGCTGAGATCTTACAAATATATTCTTCTTTTTAAACGACGTATTTATATGCATTTTGTACATATGACGAGGTAGATGTTAAATTTCATATAAACAAGCAATAATACCTATATCTGCAACTATAGACTTCACTACCTGGGCACGTGTTATGAGAAAAACGACATAAAATGCAGTCACAAATCCCAATACACTGATATAACTAGAATTACACGCTCAAACTATGAAGAAACGTGGGGAATCTGGTGGTCTGGGATCGAGATACAATAATAAAATTGTCGCATCCGTCTGAAAATAAAATTGGATTATGTTTGTAACAGATCTATTACGAAATGGTAATGAAAGCCAAGTATATCAACTCACTAACTCTACCAACCAATTTACTTTGACAACCGACAATTAGTATCATTAAACACAGGAAAGATAAAATCTGATACACGAAACGCCATTAGGCTGTCGAAATATAATCCCCAACCAATAGAATAAGAAAGACTGAACTTCATTTGTCCGCATTACACTACTTAATAAGTCGAAAACTAATAAACTTTTTGGACACAAAACGATACCATTTTTAGATGAAACTAACCAATTAGTCAATAAAGAAATTGTCTAACGTCGTGTGAGCCTGAATTAACCTAAGGATGAACTCATGTGATAGCCAGTTGTAGAATTACTGGCTTAAGATTGAAAAACCACTGGAATAATTGAGGAAACTAAGTGATCTAACCATAGAATAACACCCATAATACCGATACATTCGATCTTAGTTGTGCTCTAAATGTTAGAACGTGAACTGATAAGTTACTATAACTAGTTGTACAGTATTCCAAAAAACCTTATAAAAAAAAGTCTTACATAGACTATTAGAAATAAAGTTTCTATTTACAGGAGCATGACTACCATGAGTACAAAACTACACAAATAAAGTATGTATATAGTGACGGACCGATGATCTGATTGGTTAACAACTTTGAAGAATTTATCAATAATCATAATAGTTACCAGGATACTGGCCAGAGTACGGAAATCCTACTTTGTTCATTCCCCAGTTTCTTAAATTTCCTTTATACCAGCTACAAATTCTTTTTAATTAGATCAGTTTTAAGGATACAAAATCGGAACTAAGATAGAACAAATTATGATAAACTTGTAAATCCAAATCTTTCTATTGATAGAAAGGCAGTTTTACATTAGTTTACCTGTTTGAAGCTGATAAAAATATATGAAGAGCTTGAAGCTGTTCTGTTAGACAAGTTCCTGACATGTAACTAAAAGACACGAAAAAATTTAAAAACATTACACAGATTTGATTTTAAGTCTACATTAGTGTGTAGTACATCGGGCCACAAACTGATCTATGTGCATGGGGTAAAAACGCAACTCAGATGTTCAAACTGAAATAAGAGAAACATAATAAGGACCTGGGACCGGACGATTAAATCCTTTAATTACTAGGTCAATGCTTATCAAAACATTGTTCAAAAGTATGATTTAAAGAAAATCGTGGAATATATTCTTACACGACCATAAACCAAGTATTAATTTGATGAACAATTATTCCTACTTACGAATACCATGACAGATATGACACAAACTAATCAAGATACTTTTTAGTACTGAAAGTTCTTTATTTTCACACATAATTACTTGAAGTAGTGACTTAAACCTGAAAAAACACTGGAAATTTAAGATTTTAGTCTACAGAACTTTACATACGTCCTATTTAACTTAGCTGATGATTAAAAATTTTCTTCGAGTATAAAAATGGACAAAGAAATGAAGGCTACTTCTTGACATCTTCTGGCAGTTTAATGTGATTCTGGCACATTCGAATCGAAAAAAACCTATAAACTAGCTAATCTGACAGTTTTGAATAAAGTAGTGAAATATATATATGTAGGAAAAACATGGCCATATTTGCATTACTGTGTGACCAAACTAAAATTTTCATGATATTTACGACTTACAATACTCCGGAAAATAATTGAACAGGCGGTGGCTTATTGGTCACAAGTTCGAATTCCACCCCCACCGCTTACTTTAGCTTAGGTCATCGGGTAGAGTATTAGTAGTTCATCTGCTTAAAGTATGACTTAAAGCTGGGTACAAGAATTTATGCCTGGTAAGTTACTCATGAAGCTTAAACTGCTTAAACTCAAGCAGTTGTAAATCATATTCTTTTACAAAAGTCCTGCAAGATGACAGATAAAGCAACAAAAATAAAACGAACCACATATCATATTATATGGAACGAAATTGTTAGTAACTGTACGTATACGTACGAAATAAATAATAATTAAACACACAAATCATCCAATGAACACAACCAAACGCCTGGACGATATCGCAAGCACAAACAAGTCAATACCATGAACATGACTTACGTTAATTTTATCCATACGCATATTCTAGCCAAAAATAAACTAGCCATTTGGGCGAATTCTGATTCTAAATCGGGTCCAGTACAATCATAGTATTGTTTAATGAAATCGTCAAGAAGCTGACGACGTTTTTCTTCAGATGAACAATCCCACTGACGTAATAAATGAGTTACATTATACGTAGCAATATCCTGTTTCGCAGATGCCATGATCTAGAGTAAGAAAAAAGTGGGGAGAAAAGTTATATACATCGAGTGTGTAAAACATTACTACTTACTACCCACCCGAAAAAAACTCTTTTCTAATATTTCTATAGTTGATTAACTGTCGCAACGAATTTTCTTTTATGGGTAGTAAAATTATTGGGCTACTTATACTATACATAACCGCAGCAGTTAGCATTCCATGATATAAATATCAGCATACAACGCAGAAGAATAAACATTTCGCATTCACAAGAGAATGAATAAATTACCCACCAAATCTATAAGTACTTCGTACTTTAATTGTTGTCATCAAATATTCAAAACTTAGACACAGAATAATTCACTCGACGACAATCACAAATAGTTTAACAAAGTGCACTTTAAGTATTTATGAAAGTTGGTTTAACGTTAGCTTTATGACTTTGATAAGTAAATGAATTACATTTTTCTGATACTATCTATCTGAAACTATCTATACGCTTTTTTCTCTTACCATTCATTTTCCACCTATCCACAATTTGTCTACCCTAGACCAACGTGAATATTCCAACGGTCTGATCATTGAATAAAACGAAACCACATCGGGACGGTAGTGAGCGCTGACTGTACTTTTCTTCTAAATTTGATTTCAACTGCAGCTCAACACAATTTGATTCACCACTAAATACATAAACCAATATTAGACAGCGTTGTCGTATATCTAAACAATTAGAAGTATATAATTGTTTTGCATCACGACCTTAACTGCTGTTTGTTCATATGGTTGAAAGATGATGAACGAACTCTCTCGAAATGAAATTAAGAGTCACATATATACTTTTGGATGCTATTAGAGAATTTCATGTATAACCCATATCAATCAGGACTAATAGGAAACATAAATATCAGTTTGATTAGGAAAACAATGACATTTTCGTAAATATACTGACCAAAATCCTAGAACACTGCTGTATTTATTTCGGGCCAACAATTAAATCGTGATATGAGGACCGCTATTGATTTCCCAGATAAGACTGGTTAGAAAACAATTTTTAAAGCATAGGTTCAGAAGCATCTGTGCTAAAACAACCCAGCCAGTTAGAACATACAATTGCCTCCCCATCCTATCTTAAATTTATCTATGATGTTCTGCAAACAGTTCCACAGACAGTACATGTTGGTAATCGACAGTTACTGAATGTATTTAGCCCAAAATACTATTTACACATTTCTATGAAAACTATACAACCTAGTTTTCGGTATGTTACTTCAAATTTGTTACAGAGTGTTTGCAACTGACCTTAGTGTTTTGCAGCAATCTATTTCCATCTAGTCCATCAGCAAAGGCGAATCCAACCATTATTTCGAGAGGGTAATGACCACTAACATCCAAAATGATTTTATCACAATATCAGTATTAGGACTATACATATAATAAGGAATGAAATAGGCTTACAACTTGAAGCTATAATAAATGTTCGCCAAAGGTAAGCTATTAGGATGGATTTGCTTTTTTAGTTCTAACTGATAAAAAAATATAGATATATACATATTCCCAAATTTGCACGATCGGAACATCAGTCAAGCAAAATGAATGTACTAAGCTTCAGTAAGATGATTAAATTGCCCCCAAATGCCCTAATACGGCCGAGAGTGGAGAGAGTACGCTCACCCACTCTAAATGCTCTCACATGGCCACGTGTATATAGCCTCTGCCAGGGAAGTCCTACTAACTGTCTTCTCGTGGCAGGGGCGTTGTTTACGAAATTGAGAGGACGAAAAGCGAACTTCACTTACTCGTGAAGCAGAAGCTTAGGTACTTAACTCTGGACCACTCATCAAGGGTTAAAACTGATTTACACAAAGACAAGTGATGTTGTTTGTTCTCATAATGGATGATTTTGTGATATCGAATGAACTTGCAAATGGTTGGCCAATGATAAAAAAACAAAGTAGGACCTAGGACATGTGTATAACAGTTTGATTATCAGTTTATTACAGAAAACAGCCACTGAGTGAATTAATACACCAATGCAAATAAGGCTAAGAAGTTGGTTGTAACAAAGCTGGCAACTGCCTACCTACGAACATGGATGCATTTAGGTGTAAATGTGAATAATCCTAGCAGCGACTATAGCGAGTAAGAATTCTATTGACTTAAATCCAACCCCAGTTGATCCATACGAAGTGATATGCTATCAAAGGGAAGATGCACCACGTTCACCAATGATCGAGTAAGTTTATTTATTGAAAAAAGCATTTACAATGTACTCGGAAAGAAAGAAATAAAACTGAGTACCATAATACCCACGTAAATCTAAAGCTTCAAGAATCAAACGTATATTGTTTACGTGTTAGTTGTGTTCTCTGTCAAAATAAAAGCGCTTGTGGCAGTTTTCTATCACCACGAAAATTAATCCATGTCTACAACTGGCAGATAATGAGCATTATAAAACTTCCAGTAATCGCAGAATAATCTGTCGCAACAATCCACACTTCAGTTTTATTGTGGTGTTTGTATGACCTAACGACTCTTTTGTACTTGCTAAATGCTTGATTTCGAATTTCAAATACAGTACATTCGTTCGGGCTTATCTAGTACTTCTTGATGCAATTGAGTTATTTCTGAGGATCCTAGTTTTTACTATAATTCAAATACTCCTAATTATCACATTGGCATCAATGTGAGAAACATGTTTTAAATGAAGCCACATCATTCATAACTTGGGGATATGAAGATCCAAGATTATTTCGTGGGGGAGGATAGTGTTGGAAAATCTATGGTTCAAATTCTTGACATTAGTGGTTTCGGTATACGACCGACATAGTAACTCTATATAATCCCAGGGCCCAGGTGAGTCTGTTCCTATCTCGGTTGTTAATTCTGATACTAATGAGTACATTCTAGATAATACAGTCTTTATTCAATATACTGTCGGACAGACACAGGATGAACTTAAGAAGACGCACAATCGATTACAGACACTTAGAATCTAATTTAAGCTGTGGAAGATGTGGTGTTTGAATGAACTAACGATTCCTTTGTACTTGCTAAATGCTTGATTTCGAATTCCAAATACAGTACATTCGTCCGGGCTTATCTAGTACTTCTTGATCCACTTGCTTTATTTCTGGGATTCCTAGTTTTTACTATAATCCAAATACTCCTAATTATCATAGTTATATTTATCATATTAAGTATTGCTAATTGGTATTTAAATGCCATGTTAATTGGAAAAAAGCTTATCAGGAAAGTGCTACTAAATTTCAAGTACGATAGTACGTTACATGAAAATTAAGGCCTATAAAATAAGATGAGAATGAACGATACCGTACAGACACAAAAATGCTGTGGACAGAACGACGAGTAAACTTAGCACTCCTTTTTAGTGTTTGATTAGCACTGCAGACACTCAAAGTATACACGATGTAAGACTTGATGACGCAGTTATATATTATATGCACTAAGCGGATTCAAGTCACCTGCTAGTAACGTCAATTTGTAACTTAGTGCATGCCTGAGAGGTATGAAACAGAACCGGTAGGTTGAACAAGGATCTAAAATTTAGAAGATATTTACGCTTTACACGATCAATGAAGAACACATTTATGTTCCAGTATGCTGAAGGGAAAGTCATAAATATATAAGACTGAGAGGATTGTCTTACCATGAACGTAACTAAAAATTCAATAAAGAAGGCATGGAACACACATAAGAAAAAGTGGACTGTCTTTAACAAGAATTTTTTGTAAATAAACGGTTCAATCATAGACAGAAAAAACAAACCTCAAGCAGTAATTCGAAACGACTACCACAGTCGAAAAACGAAAGCCCGCAATAGCTCACATGGCAACCCTCAAAGATACTAGAAAGGATTTAAACACAACTCATTCAAACTAATTCAGTCATACTTATAAATTCGTCGTTTTTTACGTACAGTCTACTTGTGCAGAAAGAAACAGCAACTCTGTGGCACTTTCTTGGCTGTACTTACGATCTTTCAGCTGTTCTCGAATTACATATATTTAGTGCAAGCTGAACGACAATATGACGTAATTCCCTGTTGTGACTAATAAAATCCAGTAATTATTTGAAGCGCTGGCTATTCGCTGCCTCTTCCGGTAAATCCGATTTCGATGGAAAATTTGTTTTTTTCATCTTCAGGTAGGATTTTACTTACCATGTATACGGTTACATGTGTAGCGGGAAAATTATGGTAATGTTAGTGGAACAACCTGAAGCGAGTTCAGTTACAGAACAAAGTTTAGCTGGGTTCTTCACTGACAGAAAACATTTAAGGGTAGTTCTTTTCCCCTGACTGTGGACCGTATGTATAATCGTTAATAGGTCCTTACACTGATAGCCTGATGAACAGTAAATTAATGTGATGAGTGTCACTGAGCAGAGAATTCTGAAATATTATTCCTCGACATCATCTGTTCATATTTGGATGTCAAGCTTGTTTTATAGTAGCCAGAAGTTTCTCGTTATTTTCTATTCAACATCATAGTAAAATCCAGTCTTCTGTCTTCAGATATAACGATAGGTCTATGAACGTACCCTGATCCTTGGAGTTTGTAGCACTCTGAATGTCTGATCTCATTTTGAACAGATCAACAGAAGGTGCTGATATTACGTGTTCTGGTAGATAATTTGATGAGACTATGATTTATCATGACTTTTCAGCGATGCTAAAGTGACCTTGAGAGAGTCCACCTAATAACTAGGACCAAATGAGCGTTATAAACCAGTGTGAGAAATTAGAATCATGAATTACTGCTGATGGTTGGGATTAGGAATTACATTTAGGGTTTTCATCACGAAATGACATCAGCTTTAATGCCAAAACTCTATTTAGCCAAATCGATGGGTGAATTTCGCGCCGAAATCCGAGATCTGTAACTTCATATGTGATTGACTCGTCCATAAATTATAGTCTCAACGAGGATTCCAGTAATTCACTACTCGGTGAAAGAAAGAAAACTCCTGACATAGACGATTTGACCTCGATTTTTGGACTTTCTTAGAATACCCTATCAGTCCGAGACGGAAGGGAATTCAATTCTTAATAATACCAAGGTCATCGTTCAGTATATGATAAGCCAATATTATTTCACCCCGTATTCTCGGTAAGACAAAGGAAATAAGTTTAGGTGTCTCAGTCTGTCTTCATAAATAAGGCCAGAAAAGCCTTTTACCATTTTAGTCTCTCGTCGTTAGATTTGATCCAGCATGTCCGCTTCATACTTTAAATAAGGACTCGCTGCTTGAGTCCTATTTTCCAAATGTGGTTGCACGAAACTCGGGTATACTAAAGCAAAACTTTCTTCATGCGTATACTGAAAAGACATACGAATAGCCTATAATACCCTACAGTCTTTTGCAGCAGCAACCTTATAGTTACTAGTAGTTTTGAGGTCGCTGCTTGGTCTGGCTCCCGAATCATTGTATTTTCTTACTTTGGGCAATACAAATCCACATATTGTGTAGTGATACAAATCACCATAGCTATTTGATGGCGTCACCACACTCGTTTTGGGATTCCCTTTTAGTGACCTTCCGTCCATCCATGCCACAAATCATTTGAGACCATCCTGTAATACTATTCTATCTGACATACTGTGTATAAGTCTGCAAATATTTATGTCATCGGCAGAGACTAGAACGGCCGACTTTGCTATAGTCGGTAATTCATTCACATAAAGCAAAAAGAGAAGAGGACTGAGCGTTGTACCTTGAGGAACTCCACTGTTTACAGGTTGCAACTCTGAGGAAGCTCCATTTACCCTTACTCTCTGTCTCCTGTCATGGGGGAAGTCACTTATCCAGCCTGTGACCTTATAATGGACTCCAAAACCTTCCAGTTTCAATTTACGATCCAAATGGGAGATCCTATGAAAGGTTTTACTTAGATGCACAAAAATCACATCTACAGGAATATTTCGATCTTTTGTATCAGCCCAATCTTCTCTTGCAATCAGCAGATTTGTAAAACATGTTAGGCCTTTCCGATAACCATGTTGTTCTCTCGACCATAGTTATGCACTTCCACATAACTTAAGACAGCCATCGGAATAATCTTTTCCATCAGTTTGACAACTTCACTGCTCAGACTAACAGGTCGAGAGTTACTAACTGAATCTCTACTCCCAGCCTTATACAACGGACTAACTATCGCGTCTTCCCAGTCTGTGGACAGTCTGGACTGCCACACTGACATATCAAACAGTATCGCTAAAGGTTCAGCAATTATATCTGATAGGGCTTTCATAATCCTATGATGAATGTCATCAGGACCACTGGAGTTATCAGTTTTAAGATGCTCGAGTTGTCTTAAGACAGCACCTTTCTCAATGACTACATGTTCCATCAGCAAGCTGACACAATCACAATGAATCGTTGGTCGTTTTTTATTACTGACAGAATACACTTCACTGAAATTTTCAGATAAAACTTCAGCTTTTTTATATCATTTCTTGCCAATATTAGCGGAGTTTTTTGTATCAAAAGTGGTAGAGTTACATCGCTTTTCTGAGTTTGCCTTTTATATAGGAGAACAGCCGTTTCGGACTATCTTTACAATCCCTAACCAATTGTTTTTCATATGACCGTTTGGTCTTATCCATTAACGCTTTACACACACTCCTGGTCTTACAATAACTGGATCTGTACTGTTCTGAGACAGCAGAGATGAATATATTCCAAGGCTTTTTCCCGCGTCTAAAAAGTTTCTCGACTTATTTAGTTATCCATGGTGGACTTTTATTCGGTCTACGTGGTACGAGATATGGTATAAACAAGAACGTAACTGAACCAAACTTGCCTTTAAATATATATACCATGCTTCTTCAACCAATTAGTTGGTATCTATTGACCATTCTGTCTTTGCAGCGCACTCCTAAATGGCTGATATGTTAGCTTTCTATACATATGGGGGAGGCTTAACCTGGTCATATATCATGTCACCAGCTCTATACATGAGTGACAAAGCAGCGTGATCGCTATGCACTGACAGTGAAGGAATATTTACGGTGGCCGCATGGTTGATTACTAAGTCCAAAAAGAATAACCTTGGCCTTCACCAAAATATGTGGTTTTGGATACATGCTGTACTAATGCATACGCCATTACCATTATCAGGAACCTACTACCAAAGGAGTTTATAGATCCTACCGAGGCAATCTCAGTCCAACTAATATCAGGTGCATTAAAGTTTCCTAATGTCAAGCATCTACTAGTTACAGTCGATCGCTGAATGTTCTCTAAAATAAAGTCATCAGCTAAGCAGATTAGGCTGCGATAGATGATGCCGAGTATAAATGTGTAACATCCGATAGTGTACCCGCAGTTAACGAGTTCACTAGCTTCACTATCATGGGATTCGCAAGTTAAGGGTTGGATATTTAAATTATTGGCTAGGTATAAAAAAGCACCACCTCCTTTCCTATCACTTGTTAGTTAGTGGTATCCTGATGATTCTGGAGTAATGTTGAAGTCATAAACTAACCAAGTTTCCATCACAGCTACAATAAGTAGCCTTAATTTGTACACTAATGCTCCCAGTTCAAAGAATTTATTTCTTAGACAACGAGCGTTGGCATATCAAACTCCTAGGCAGAAAGACCTATCCACAGAGGCTTTGGCAGCATTCGCTACCAAGACTTGACTACTTGAAAACCCACTAATTGGGGATTTCCCTAACCATTTTGCGACGGATTTCTAGTCCAGCTAGTGCCGTCTTCTTTCTTATTCCAACTTCAAGAGACATATCAGGTCTTACTCAAATTTCGGTATTGTCGTGACTGCGAGCAGTACTTAACAGATCATGTTGCTTCTCCGACCCTAGGAATACCTTAAGAAGTCTATATGGTCGAGGTTCAACACTGTTGTTGGTCCTCATACCTATTAGTATCATCATTTTTTTACCTGAACTCCTTTACAGTTATCTGGTAAGATGCTACAGATATATTCTCTGAGCTTTTCCAAATCATGCACGTACCTAACTTTGGGATTAGGATCGTTCGACTCTATGAATTTACTATCAATAATATTCCATGAGATTAAATTTTTCTCAGTCAGGCCAGGGTGAAGTTCTGTTTTACTATCAGACTTTGGTAGTGCATTCCGTGACTCAGAATGTGATTTCCAAGGTTTTTAATCTGAGCATCTCAAATAATCCTAACTTGTCTGCCATGAACACATCAGGGGAGCAGATAAGTAGTCTACACTCACCAAGTAAACAGAAAATCCTTGGTTACTGTTAGGTTTGAAGCTCCACGAGTTCACTTAATCTGCGAACGAGAACAAGACTCGGTGACCAAAGACCAGTAATCTAGCTATTGATGCGTTCCAGCCCCGCTATCTAGAAGAAGAAGTCCAAGCTTGGTATGGAAAATATATTCTGCAAAACAGCTAAAAGCGCATTGCCATGGGCAGGAGACCGACAACTCATCCTCCTTGAAATCCATGGTGTATTAAAAATTGACGCCGCGTGTACCGCGACTTCACTTGTATATGAAATGGTGTTTTGAATTTAGGAGTCTTCATATTTTACCCTCAACATGAAAATAATAACATATAATTATTAAGCAGTAAGCTAGATGACAATAGTGCGAGCTTACAAGGGAAATCAAACTACTACATGGTTCTAATCTACTGTCCTAGACAGTCTACGGAAGCCGTAGTCGGTGGTTTCGTATTGCGTCATGTTCCAGCCATTTTGTTAAGGCTTTTAGTTCACTGTGCAGATATCTTACTAGCTGTAAGTGAGATAACTGGCAAGAAAACTTTAATGCATGAAACTAGAAATTCATTTAAAATAATTGTTACGATCCTTTTCTCATCCATTAAACGTACAACACTATCCACATGATACATCATGTTTACATAACAATATGCTACATGAACGAGACATAACACCAATTGTGCTCCAACTCGACCACTGCCATTAGATGCCTTTGTTACAGTTTGCGGCACAGTGGATGCATCCTCACACGTTATGATTTGTAACACTTGTGTGGTTTGTGAAGGATCCTGCAACGCTATTAAACTACGATCAAAAGTAGATAAAACCAGCCAAAAATGGAAAAGATAGACACATCACTGACGATCAAACAGAAATTGGATACTTAAGTGTTAACCTTGGACCTTTTCATCCGATTTTCTGACTAAAAATAACACGACAAATCATGGCAGGACATCCCAGTATCAGTGACTACCAGAGGGGTACCTAGATTCCAACAAACAAGGTCAACGTAATCTGAGGAAACTGAAGTGCACAGAATGCCTAAAATATCCGAACATTTAAAACAAGCGTGACATACTTATTGGTAAACTGCTCTGCGTCATCGATGTTGTGATTCCATTGATTAGCATAGAAATGTCTGATGAAAGTATATATATATATATATATATATATATATATATATATATATATATATATATATATATATATATATATATATATTCATCCGTCAAACATTTTTGCTTAAAAAAAGCTCGTGTGAATTGATACTTACCACCATCTCATATCAGAACTTTACTTAGACAAGAGACGCCCTTCCGAACTTTACACGACGTCTACGAAATAAGCTTCAGAACACCCCTTCACGATTTATTTTCAGGACGATGAAGTAAATCGTACAGGAAGTAAAGACAGTATGACCCTTTATTTTCCCATTTACCACAATAATCCTCAAATCGAGAACTTACAACTGCGTTTAGCTAGATGATTCAGGCTATTAAAAAAACATTGTCTTCATATTCAAGTGACTATAGACTCAGTCTGAATTTCAAACAAATGCAGTGTGAGCGGCTACGTTACCTCATGCTTAAGTATATAATTGGAACTTCAGTGTGTTGAGACGAAAATCATGGTTTTTGGAGTACTTATTTTTTACTTATCCCAAAATTTACAGCTTACCGATTTTTGATGCCAGCACAAGCAAAACAATACGACTCTATTAAGATGCAGCAAATGATTGAAAATATAAGACTTTCGAGGTTATTCCTATTAAATACTTTTCTATATTGTCATAATCCTGTATTTTTATTCAACTCAATAACCTTTGCGTTATCTTTTACAGTTCATCAGGTATAGCAAACTAGATGGCCATAAACGATTTACTTCTTTCTGTCCCGAGTCCTAGTTATGTAGATAATGGTACTTGTCATTTATGATGTCATGGTCTCGTATCTTGCACACGAAGAATTAAGCTCATGAGCCTTGGTAGTACAGAATAATATAAGGCACTGGGTTAATCTTCTAAGTGACTTGACTAATCGAGATTTGATATAGGTGAGAATATTGTGTAGGCTATCAACCGTTAGCACATACTTTTCATATGCGTTAGTACACTCATTGTGAATACGAGAAAAACTCATCATATTTTATTACAAACAAAAATCCAATATGATTTCTACAACGTTTACGAACCAAATTCTACATACGCCATTGAATGACCGTATCCACAACCGATATGTTTCACTTTGTAATTTTGATTAAAACATCGGAAATTTATTCGATATGGTTGTGTGATGTAGGGAATAACTTCTTCTTCAGTCCAATGTTTTTCTATGTGACTTGCAATTTTCGTTGTAACAGCGCACATACCATGCTCATTCCACCCCCAAACCCATAACTGTTCATTTGAATCTATAGCCATTGAGTGCTCTGAACCACAAGCAACAGATTTTATAGTCACTTCATGACCAGTATTCAAATGAAAATGTACTTTTCCAGGATGTACATCGAAGTTCGGGAAAATTTCATTAGATTTTCCTATAAACTTGCTTAATACGTTAACAGTTCGTCCAAGCTGTCCAAAGTCTGATCGACCCCACGAATAAACTTCTCCAACACCTAGAAATATAAAGCAAACACATTCTTAAACAAATACGTATATAAAAATATTTATGTTAAAATTATTATGCCGAAAAGTGACTTAATGAAAAAAACAATATCAAGGAATTACAACTCATGTTAAAAATCTGATGGCATAATTGGTAAAGTAACCGCTAAACTATTCACAGATAATGCACCGATTGATCAGTATTAATTATAACAATGCCTGTCAAAATAACAGTGTATCTTTACTAAATGAAATCATATGAAAGAAACTATAACTAGTAAATCTTTAAACAATAAAAATGAGCATTCCCTACAAAGAAGTTGGGTAATAACAATCATCCACTATTAGAAGTTCCTTTATTTCTTGATAAGTTTAAACCCAATTTCCTTGACATCAGTTCGGATAACCACACCAAACTTTGCACAAAATTTAAAGTTCGAACTCAAGTGCATAAGCTTGTAATTCATCCCTGAATACGAAATAGTTATTTTTGACATAATTTATTTGATTTTATTAGAGATGATATTGAATAGTAAGTAGTTTATTAAAAATAAGCTTTTAAAAATAAAAGTAGATAAGGTTGAGCGTGAGTGACTTGAGCTAACAATAACTTGCCTGTGACTAGTTTCGTTTAAGATAAGTGCACAAAACAACTCAATCGATCAATAATAATTAGGTAAATAATCTATTCAGTATTTCAGTAACCTCTCTCTCTCAAAAATGTAATATGTAAGTATAAATGAAAACTTTTAATACATAGTGTATAGTTAATATGATTACACGAAGAGTTAAAAGGTTACGGTTTTAAGTAGACTACTGATTTGACTCTGGCTTTCACTATACGTGCATTGATCTCATCACTCACGCCATCACCAGCACTTATGCAGCTACTCAGATACACGAATTTATCGACTACTTCTTTCTGCTCACCATCCAGAGTGAGTACAGGATTAGAATCCTGCCAGTCTTTTAGAAGTACTTTGCACTTCGAAGGTGCAAAAGCACATACCGTACCTACGGACATTGATTACCAACTGATTAAGTGCGGATTGCATGGCTTGGGCATTATCGCGCAGTAAGACAATATCATCCGCTTACTCAAGGTCAAGAAGTCTTTCTCCATGCAACAGAACCACACCCCCGTCACTTACATCCATCAGAGCTGTTTCCAAAATGTCATCGACAGCAAAGTTGAAGAGGAATGGTGAGATTGGGCAATTATACAAACTACTCAAGAGATAAAAACCTAAATCTGAAAAATGTTTCAGACACAAACTGGGACTTGTTTACATAGGAATCAATCAGAAATATAACAGATGTTATCTTCAATTCTGATTAAACCGCGTTACTTTACATAAACATGAAATGTTGAGAAAGACTACAAAGAGAATTCTGTTGAAGTCATAATAACAAGTTGCCTAACGAACCAAACGCTTGGTTTTCATGTATGTTGGAAGGCTGTTAATCTTGTGGTCCATTTTTTGGCTTACTTATAAATATAGTTGTGGATAGTCATCCGAAATCTTGAGAACAACTAGCTAATGCTAATTTATTAAACAGAACTATTCATTTTACCTACAAATTTTTCCTTAATCTATTGTTTAGCACAGACAGATATGAGTACATTAAATTCATACTCAAAGAGATAAACAAAAAACTCCATAATATATTATTTGATACACGAAAGACAAGAGCAGAACCAAACATAAACCTTCGCGGTTGAAAATACAAACCTATTAAAGACTTTTGCAAAACATCTCAACGACTTTCCGTTGCATATATACATTGCGATGTACAGGAACAGTAGGACAAACTTCCTGAAATAATTTATGGTGAGAATTCTTACTGTATTGAACAAAAACACTGAATAAAGCGACTGATATTACTTTCCAGCTATTATGAAGGCGACACCATTGCTGCTAACACTTGGTATCCAAAATTGTTTGAATATTTGTTGCTCTTAAAAAACACTGTTTATCAGTTTGGCTTTCTCATAATTTAGACGGTTAATGTGAGAAGTAGGTTCTAACCAAGCTCAAGGAATGAATGGTTTTACAACTGATTATTTCAGAAGTTAAACTATAAAGTGACGACGTTTTGGATACCAATTGTTCTTTAAAATTTTGTGAGGAATTTATGTACAAATGACTTGACTGCTGTACAGGAGTTAGCTATTGGTATATTCTGCGCACAACATTGTAAAACCATATTCCCACATACAATACTAAATAAAGCAATTATTACTAGTACGATTTTACAAAAGCGTTTTTAAGTATATAAGGGAAAAACTAAGCATTATTATTAACTTCACGCGTATGCATAATGTTTTTAGTAAACTGTTTTCTATTATTATATCTCTTTCAATATTACTCAGGTGTTTAGTGAGATGTGTAAGTTTTAATTGATTGGCTTTTTTGAGCTTCCTGTAACATAGCACTTACTTTTGCGAAATACTTTTTACTTAGATGAGTCATAAAAAAGTACACAATTACTCTTACTAATAGATGTTACTTACTAGTTCTAACGAGAACATGACTCCATCCACACACCACTTGTTCTATTTCATTGTTGTCGAATAATTCGGCATCATACCAAATAGGAGATGAAAGTCTACTTTCGATATTCGAAGAAAGACCGTGAACTTCTGATTTGAGTTTAAAAAATCTAGTATCTCCAAAAAGAGCCAGTTTATTTGTTCCTAAAGATGAAGAAATTATAAATTCCTATTAAACCAATAGATAAAAAAGAGTACACTTACAGGAGCTTATGACATACTTGTTTTCGCAATTGAATGATGCGCACCAGCGGCACAATCGACCCACTCATGTGTATCGCCAAATACAGAGTTCAACAGAGTGGGACGGTAACATATTTGTTTCGATTCGTCATAATGCTCAGCTTTAATCATCATTTTATCAAACAATAATTGTTTTCGGCGATTAGAACCCCAACCATACAGTTTTCCGGAGACTAAAAAATAACTTGCTTTAAAGAAAACAAAAATCACCTGTCACAGAAACGACATGCCTTAGACCTGCAGATATAGATCGAACAGGCTCTATATCAACACGAACCTACATGTGCATCATATTTACCCGATAAAAACTTACAGGAGTTATGCTTGAATTAATACTTTCTTTGCCCAACTGTCCATATTCATTTGAGCCCCATGAGAAAACAGACCCATCACTTAGTACTGCAACAGAAAAATCCCAACCACAGGATACTTTATTAACAGTTGATGCAAAAGAGTAAGGAATAATTTTGAAGTGGTTGCAGTCATTTGAACGACCCAGCTGACCAAAAGAATTCAAGCCACAGCTGAATATATTGTTTTCTTAGTACATAATATTATTTTGTCTTTCATCTACCGTCAGAAATCAGAGAGTGACCACCACCTCCGGAGATCAGGGCGATCGGATCAGTGAAATTAATGATTTTAGGTTCATAAGCATCTTTATCATCTCCTGTACCCAGCTGCCCATGGCTGTTTGCACCCTGTAAAATAATATGATTGCAAAGATTGTGATAAAACGAATTGAACTCACCCATGTAAGCATAAGGAAGAGGAGAATTAAATTGTTGCCTGAGTTTCAAATAAAGATAGGTAGAAAAGAAATCGGTCTACCGATGTATTTTGACAGCTGATTTACCAGAGGATGCTGAGCAAAGGTAAAAAACACAAGGCTGTTATCTTGAAATAATAAACACTAATAAAGCGAGAGTTATTCAAATACCTTAATTCGTATTAATATGACTTAAAATGGTGCACATGGAGATCCGCTAGAAAAACACTGGAGTGACAAACACTTAAATATTCAGAGCTCACCGTTTGTCTTCATGAAAACAAAAAAGAACTTATTAACTTTTATAGGATATTTACTAAATTAATCGCAATCCAATTTGTTTCTAATTAACGACGCACATAAAATCTGGCACATGGCACCAAAAGACAGAACACGCCACAAAAAGTATGGATAACACTGTAAAAATGAAGCACACTTAAGCCATACAAATATGGAGACAAAATTGTGAAAAAAAGAGTAAGGAGGAAGATCGTAATTAAAAATATATAAATGGATAGATATGAGTGGACGAAAGTAGCACATAGCAGGAAAAACAGTACAGTTAAAATGCAACTGGAGAGAATTTTCCGTTATGTCAGTTTTGTGTTTTTATGAAGCATTGAAAGAAAACTACAGTAGAAGTGCTATTTGTTTCAATTCTGAGTAATGTTCTAGCACGTCACGTTCTAATAGTACTATTACTACACGCATTTGTATATACATTTTAGAGTAACAAAAAACACATTCCCAAGAACATTACGTTGACCTTCCGATTACAGAGGTACATAATCCAAACGCTAGATATGATGAGTATTTCGGAACTAGACTACTTGATTACGTCGATGAGATTCCTTGGTTCATAATATCCGTTCATTGTTTTTCCGACAATAAACTACAAGCAACAGCTAGAATTCTTTAAGACAACCAAAAGACAACTGTTACTTGATAAGTGTGAAATTTTTTGAATGCCAGGTGTTAGGAAAGTTCGAGGACTTGCATGGGTAGTTTTCGAAAATTAATGAAGAATGACTACATGTGAAAATTGTGAGCATAATGAGAGAACTTTGAGTGTTTTCTTGAAGTCGGTCGTGGTACGTTTCATGAAGTACATAAACGAATGAACAAGACAAATCTGAAACTTCAGCACAGAACTCATTACTGCATCAGCTGATACCACTCAGTGCTAAAACCATTACTTCATGTATAGAGGTTCCTTGTGCGCGTCAAAGTTGTCTAACGACAATGATTGAGTTGATTTTTATCACATTAATTATACATGACTTAGAATTTAGGTGAAATTTCGGCGTTCTCCCTAATGTCGTATGAAAATTTTCAGTCTGTGGAAATTTTTGGTTTCCCGCGAAATAACTTGGAATTCTGTGAGAAAACGTGGGCCATAGGAAATCTTGAGGAAGCAATTCAAATTGCTTGGAGGGACTGTTCTCAAAAGTGAACGTTAAACAATTATTTACTAGAACACATTGCAAGCGTGACGTACTATTTTAGATCACGCGGCTATAATATGCTACATATTCGAAATCAGATTTGTGTAGCAAAGACAGAAGGCCTACAACCTATGTTATTCCTTTTCTAGTGTGCTTCTGTGAGTGTCCAGTCTTCTGTTGAAAGAGCCAGTTGCAGGTGCAGACACCACTGCTCCGAGCAGCAGGTCCCAAGTATAGATGACTCGGTGTGAAAACCTGTATGTCACGGGTACTTTGTTCGTTCTTGGCTTTTCTATTCGCCTGCTATGCCCTCTGAGGTGTCCCGATCTAGTGGAAAGAAAAAGAGTGAGTAATTTGGGTCCAAAATCATTTCTCAGTATTCTATACATCAAAATTAGATCTCCCCTTATTCTTCGATAGGACAAAGTAAAGAGGTCCGGCTTTTGAAGTCGCTCTTTGCACGGTAAACCCCGGAGTTCTGGAATTGCTCGGGTGCTGCCCTCTGTACTTTTTCTGAGATATCCGAGTCACATTTTGAACAGGGGCTTGCAGCCTGAACGCAGTTCTCAAGCTTAGTTCTCACTAAGGATGTGTACACCGTGGTGAACAAGATAGTATTTAACTTAGTGAATGTCCATTTTAAAGCACAGAGAGTTTAAAACCCCTTAGCTGTGACGTCCCAGCTATGGGACGGGATGACTCGCTCTCATCCCTAAATCCTTATGAAATCGGACCACGGGTAATGACACTTCCCCTATGTTGTACCTATTAACATTTGAATCCCTATAGTGCATGTAGACACACTTTGCCGCACTGATAGACTTCATCCACTCTTTAGACCAGTTAATCATATTATTTAAATCCGCCTGAAGAGCACGTGCTTCTGTGTCTCCAGTTATTACTCGCCAGATCTTTACATCGTCAGCGTATTATAACATTGGAGACTGTACTATACTTGGAAGATCATTAACATAAATTATGAAAAGCAAAGGACCTAGGACGGAACCTTGACGTACTCCAATAAGTACTGGTCTCCAGATGGAGCACTTGGAACTTATTCTTACTTTTTGCCTACGACCTACTAGGAAATCCTTAATCCATTTTAAAAGAGGTCCGGCAATACCCAGGTTTTCCAACTTCAATAGCAGTTGGCACTTTGTCAGAAGCCTTACTGAAGTATATGTAGACAACACTCACTAAGTTTCCGTTGTCTAGCGCCTTTATCCAAAACTCCCTTGCTACAAGATAGACCCTTCCTAAAAGCATGTTGTTCTATGATTAGCAAGTTATTGGTTTCCATAAATGTCATTATGGTCCGTTTGACCATTCTTTCCAATATTTTAACTACAACACTGGTGAGGCTTACAGGTCTGTAGTTCGATGGAACTTGTTTTGGTCCTGTCTTATGTATAGGAGTGACGATTGCGTCCCTCCAGTCCATAGGTAACACACCTTGGTCAAGTGACATATTGAATATCACAGTGGGGCCGCGGTATATTGTGCAATATGTCTCAAGATTTTGGGGTGTAATTCATCTGGTCCTGTTGACTTTTCCATGTTTAAGATGCTAAGAGCCCTAAGCACATCGTCTTGATCGAAGTTCAAGGTGAGCAGATGGTTTGTTGACTTTTTATTTTGGTCTGGTTCTTTGTCTAGAGGGGTTTCTGAGTGAAAACTGCCCTAAAAATAGTCAGCCATAGCCTTCTTTAATCAGGTCGGGAATCCAATGATGCATCCTTGTTCTGTAGTTTATGTACGAGAACATTTTCTTAGGCTGCTTGAGTGCAAATTGTGCCAACTGCATTTCATATTTTCTTTGAGCTTCCCGAATTTTCGTTATACACTTGTTTCTTACCGATCTGTAGCATTCCATAGTACCTGCTGTGCCAAGGCGGATGGCAACATCCTAGCATTTCTTCTTTTGTCTTAGTAAACGCCGAACACCCCAGCCTATCCAGGGATGTCCGTGCTTCTTCTTCTTTAGAACTGTCCAGGGTATGTATGGTTGAGTTACCCAATTGTGTAACTGCCTGAAAAGAGTCCATGCCTTTTGTACTGATGCCTTTGAGTCAATTTCCCAGTTTTCAGCTGATGCTGCGGAGTTGATTGCCTCCATATCTGCCTTCGATATATTAGGACGGGCCGGCGCAACTGTTTGACGGGCAATCTCGGCCATGAATTTGGATTAGATGACTGCATGGTCACTTCTCCCTAGTGGTGGGAGAAAAGTCATTTGACCAACGTCATCACTGTGTGTGAAGACTAAATCCAAGAGAGAAGAAGAGTTTCTTAAGTCATATATCGTGGGGTTTCGAATGTGTTAGAATAAAGCTAATCCAATCAAGGTTTCTAACAGTTTGCAATCGAACGACGTTATCGATGACCCTACTTCTAAGTTAACTCAGTTTCACAAATTGAAAACCCTTAAGAACGAGATTTCTTTCACCGTTTGGGCGACGCTCATTTATTTCCACTTCTGCAGCTCGTCTGTTTACATGATCAGCTAGGCTGAGATCCTCATGGACGTTTATCCTGGATCCAATCAAATTACGTGAGTTACCTAGAATCAGGTTCCTTTCTTCAACCATGGCAAATGTAACCTTCAAGAGGTGGTTTTTCTGAGGACTTTCAGAACCCATCTTTAGTCCTATTTTATAAAGCTTACAAATACTAACTCCTGAAACGGTATCTGGAAGTAGTTTGCTTATTAAGGACTTAATATGACTGAGATCGTGTTCAAATCTAGCCTTTGGTTCCTTATCGAAAGATTCCCTTAACTTATGATAAATGACTGACATCTCAGAGAGATCTATCTTGACACGCAGTGGAGTTTTTGTTTCTGATACCGTCTCTTCCAGTGACTTGCTAACCATAACATAATTGTTATCCATATTAAATATATTTTTCTGTCTCCAGCCTAAATGCGTTCTTCATAATATATTGGTAATTGTTAAAATACGATGAGTCAGGGTGGACAGTGTTGTGACATCCACGTAAAGTCTTATAGATTAGGCAGTTACATCATGACAACTCTTCAATTTTAGGATTCAGTCTATTATTAGTGCGGTACTAATAACGAAGTAATCTGTAATTCTACAATCTCATGAATCATCGAAGCATCTTTCAAAACAAAAAAGTAGGAAATCACAATTAATGTTATCCAATGGTATGCACCAACCAACGATGACAACGACGACGATAAAGATCAGTTTTACTCGAGGCCGAAATCAGTCATAGCGAAGTGCTGAGGGAACGACTTGACTATTCTGATGGGAGACTTAAACGCCAAAGCCGGAATGGACAACACTGGGTATGAATTTATCATAGGACGACATGAACTGAATGGGGTAAAGGAATGAAAATATTCACAGTTTTGCAAATTTATGTTTATTCGACAAAATGTTTATAGGCGGCACTATATTCCCCCACAAACCCATCCATAAGGCAACATGGGTCTCACCGGATTACAATACACGGAACCCGATCGTCATGTTTGCATCACTAAAGTATTCACAAGGTCAGTGGAAGACGAGAGAATCAGGAGAGGAGCTGACATAGACCTGGATCACGATCTGGTAGTTATCAAAGTGAGACTGAAGTTAAAGTATCAGTGGTGTACCGGAGAAAAAGCATTAAAATAGTTTTATACAGCCTTTTTTGAAGATGCTGACAAACTCAACATATTCAAGATAGCTCTCAACAGCAGGTTCCAAGTCCAACAATATCTACTCAACAAAGAATTAACTACTATGCAGGACAACCGAAAAGGGGTCAACGTAAGTCTCTACTGCTAACTCCTTTATATTTGATTGTGCGTCTCACGAAATTGTTACGTCCAAGTTTTGCTCGTCCAGATATTGAAGTACGGACTATCGATCTACTTGCAAATTACGAACCCAAATTAACAACAGAACCAAGCTCCAATTTAGATACCAAATTTATTCGTAATTCACAAATAATCGACCAAATGTCGTTCTAACAACAATAATTATAACGATTACAAAACAAACCTTCAATTTTGTAGGTTCCAAGAGCTAAACTCCCAAATACCAAACCAAAGATAAAGAGAGCACCAAAATACCGAACCAAAGACAAACCAAAATGTCCGAAATAATGATATAAACAAACAAGTTCAAAAGTTAAGTAAAACAATTACATCCAAAAACACAGTAAATTATTAATGTACAATAAAAGGTTTTAATCCGTCAAATGTCTTCAGTTCTTCCGTAACAAAATAATGTTCTAGTTAAGCAAACAACAACTCGGGGTTACTACGATTGAATTCTAAAAGTCGAACTTTTGCAGTCAAATCAGTGTCTATCTCCACTGGTGATAAATCCTCTGGGTTTTGGGTTTTTATTGAGTCTGACGTGAAGTATGTGACCAATATAGTAATATAATAAGGACGAGATTTTAGAATTATGGTCTACTTTAATGGTATTACCATTACAATAATAGACCTAATCCTTAAATTGTAGATCTGTTGTGATTGTTATTATTATTACTATTCAAAAACGTAATATGGGTACATAAGTGTTGTGAAGAAACCATCTCGAGTTTCTTGAAAAATGAAATAATACACAGGTTTCAGTAATGTAAGAATTATATTTGCCATATTTGAAAAAGAGAGTATTAATACTATGATATTAATAATAAATCAGGTTCTGTGTAATTGAAAAGAATATTGAATTAACTCTAAAGAAAGGAAGGGAGAAAGGCAATAAAAATAAAGGAGACGTGAAATACGCAAATAGTTTAATAGGCGTGTTTATGAACACAGAACAAGAATGAACGTATTTGTTTGTATCGTCAAATTAGTAACAAAAATAAAATATAAAATAATTCCGAAAAAATAACTTATACTGCAGTAAGATATGACTCTGGAATAAGTGTTTGTGCAGTTTTAGTTTAGAATGATGCTATGAAAGTCACAATTAAGTGAAAAGGATAACCAAATATCAATATATATGAGTCATATATGCATGGTGTCGACAAAACGAGTCTGAGAAGTTAAATTAAGTGTGGCACAAGTTATTGCCTTAATTACAAACATCGTAAATTAGGAATAATATTTATTTAAATGGAAAAGAGAAAAGAAATGAA